GACAGGTAGATTAGGGTTAGGGTTTCAACTATAAGAGGAGATGTACCCATCGGGATTACTATGGGAGAATAATCAAAAACCCTAATTAGTCTATCTTCTTTACCTCTCTTGCGGCGCATCTGGTGCGCCTATTCTTCTCTTCTTCGTCTCAACTTTCCGGAGCCCGGAGGCGCTCGAAGTCTCTCCCAACCGATACAAGAACGTATCAGCAGACCATGGAATTAATCAATCAGTAACAATCGACTCATTCCTGCTCGGCCGCTATGCTTCTTTACGGATGACCAGGAAATTGCGGCTGCAATTTCACTCATTTCTGTGAAATTAATCAATCAGTAACAATCGACTCAATGATGATTAGTCGATGAAATTCCAAAGTCGCAGACCAGGAATGAGTGAAAACCACCACAGGGTATGTAAATTGATTTTTTCGTCTTTAAACGCAACATATGTGCATTTGTCTTGTAAGATCGGAACATGCATGGATGGTGTTTGTAAAATTGTCTTTGAATATAGTATTGTTTTCAAATTGAGATGTATTGTAATGTCTTTGATCGGAAGATTCATGTATGATATTTGTTATATAATATGTAAAATTTTGCACTAAATATGACTAAAACATAATGACTTTCTTAATCTAGGATTTAAATTTTTTTATTCCCTAAATAAGACTTATTAATGTCTTAGTGGGAGGAATAATGTCCAGTAATAATGGATATTTACTTGAATAATGACTAATTCATAATGACCAAAAGTCCTACATTGGGAAATAAAAACATATGGTTCTATATTGGGAAAGTCATTATGTTTTAGTCCTATTTAAGTAAATTACTCTTGTTATATTGGTTGTTATGTCTTTGAGTTTAAATGTTTGCTTAAATGTCTTTGATTCTAAATATTTTGGGCACTGAATAGTACGGAGTATTTCATTTCTTAATTTAGGACTTAAACTTTTTTATTTCCCAAATAGGAATCAATAATGTGTTAGTGAGAAGAATAATGTCCAGTAATGATGGTCATTTACTTGAATAATGACTAAAAGATTATGACCAAAGATCATAGGAAATAAAAACATATAATCCTATATTGGGAAAGTCGATCATTATATTTTAGACATATTTTGGTAAATTTCTCTACTTTTATACTACAATTGTTAAAAAAATAGTTGAGGCATTGCCTATAATGGGTTTGTAAAGACTTTTTAATGCGGAATAAGACATTAAGAGTATGACTTTTGGCAAATAAAGGAAGGAAAGGACATTATGAGTATGAGTGTATATGTTGTGTTCAAACATTTTATTGTATTATCTAATGGTATTGTACAAGCTCTACAAAAAAATTTGTTTGTAGTATATATGTTGTGTCGTTCCAACTTGACACACATCAATGAGACATTGGTGGCTGCAATAATACCCGTGCAGATGGACATTAACATTGAAGACAAGGACATTATAGTGGTATGCAGATGAATATAACATACAAGGACCATATAGCAATCAAGAAATGAGGACATTAATGGTATAAATTAAATGTGAAGGACACTGTAAAGGCCAATGGAGACATTGGTGGCTACGATTATACCCGTGCAGATGGAAATTAACATTAAAGACAAGGATATTATGGTGGCATTCAGATAAAAATAACATACAAGGACCATATAGGAATCAAGAAAGGAAGACATTACTTTATAAATTAAATGTGAAGGATGCGATAAAGGCCAATGGAGACATTTGTGGTTGGGATTATACCCACGCAGATGGACATTAACATTGAAGACAAGGACATTATGGTGGTATGCAGATGAATCTAACATACAAGGACCATATACCAATCAAGAAAGGAGGACATTAATCTATAAATAAAATGTGAAGGACGTTGTACGTAAAGGCCAATGGAGACATTGGTAGCTGCGATTATACCCATGCACATGGACATTAACATTGAAGACAATGACATTATGGTGGTATTCAGATGAATCTAACATACAAGGACCATATAACAATCAAGAAAGGAGGACATTAATCTATAAATAAATGTGAAGGACGCTGTAAAGACCAATGGAGAAATTTAAAATAACATAAACCATAATGACGATGCACACAATATGTAAGATTAATACATTATGCTAAGAATATGAAAGTTATTATAGAAATATATCAAGAATATATGTATGCCTTATTTGGGAATATTTCAAGTGCATGTTCTATCTCTAAAATTAACTACAAAGGATCTCTCATCATCGTCAAGAACTTGAAATTTTAAGAAACCAGTTGGTGTAACTATTATGATTAAAATAAGGACACATTGTAATACTCACACTGTGGTGTATAATGTCTACAATAGTTTATGGAAGGACAATGAAATAAGAAATGTTACTTTCTCCGTTCTAAAATTGACTTTCCAATTTGACTTTCTTAGTCAATTTTTTTGAATTTTGGTCGTATATAATGGAAAAATTACATTGATTTCTCATATAAATTTAAAATTAATATATTCATTTTAAAACATAGTTTTTAATTTTTTTTATTTTTGGTATATATTTATATACAAATAAAAATATTAACGATTAATGTGTTGCATTAAAGATTGTGAAAAGTCAAATGAGAAATTAATTTTAAGACGAATAAAGTATTTAAGTTAAAATATAACGGAGACCAACAAGAACTTAATAAAAGTTAATTACTACGGTATATCAAATTATTTATACTCCGTATGTACTAAGTTATTGTGGTCACCTTTTATCATTTAGAACTTTTGATTTTTTAGATGTATAAATTTTATACTTTAAAATTTTACTTTAGTTTTCATACAAATGAAATTAAAGATAAAAGTACACCATAATTGAAATCGGCATATTAAAGTAAAAAATAAGATTTCTAAATAAAAAGGATAAAAAAGGGAAAGATGGGTCGATGAATTTCATTCCCTAAAGTTTAGGAGTAATAAATGATTCATTAAATCATAATAAAGTAAACAAAACCAGAAAAATAAAAAACGGGAGTTCTAATTCAGGGGTAAAAATGGAAGAGCCTCCCGAAAGAAGTCCTATTAATTGGAAAAAACTTAGTTGCTCCTATTTAGAGAAAGTAAACCACTTTAGGTCTTAGATACAACAAATTTTACTTAATTTATCTACTTTTTCATATAATGTTAGAATATAAAAAATATTTTCTAGGCCACAACTACAAACTTGAGCTTTTGGTTGAATGAGTTCCTAGACATGGTATCGGAGCCTTGTTGACTAAGAGGTCACATGTTCGAAATACAGCGCTACCCAGTTTAAAAAAAATTAAGATTTCAATGCAAGGCTCGAAAAAGATTATGTCGACCAAGGAACAGAGTATTAACAATCAACCATTCTCTAAATTAATTAGAGCTTGAAACACCAATATCAATAATATTCACTCAAAGTAAGAAACACGTCGACCCAAAAATATGATGCTACAGTGCCACACAGAAACCATATAGGTGACTTTACTATCATCGAGAGATCAAAGCCGTATTTCTATTATTAGATATGAAAACGAGGATCTTAGAAACAATATACTTAAACTTCAATCTTGGTCGAGTTAATAACTTGAACTATGATACCTTGTGGTTGGGAGTTAAAACTAAGACTATCAATAACCTGAAACATAAAAAGTTTGCTCCCCCATTTTGGCGAGGAAACGGTAGAAAACTCCTTCCCTCCCATAGTTTCATTTTATTACACTTTTTATTTCTCTTTTCACTTCATTTCTAGTCATTTTTATTAATTCAAATACTAACATTTAGGGGGCGAGCTGAGCATGATAAGTACAATATTTAACTCGTATCGATATTGTTTTAAATATTTTGGTTCGATATTAAATTTTACGTCGTATCAATCTCGATTCCTGAACTTTTGTTCGAGATGATTCGGTATCAGTTTTTGAACAAATTAGGATAAATACATATGCACCTAATTTAGAGTTTAAAATGTCACAAAACAAGTTGTTTTTAAAAAATTGATAGTATATATAAATAAAAACATAAAAAAATGAAATATTAAATTTAAAAAATGCTATTAAAACTTAGTTATATTTTGCAAACTTAAATGTACAGATGATAATAAAATGACTTTTCAGATACGAGTTAATATTTTTGAATTTATCACAATATACACATAATAAAATTAAATTTGAATCAAATTTTAAAAATGAACTTATAATCGACTCTAAAAAAATTAAATTTGAATCAAATTTTAAAACTGAACTTATAATCGACTCTAAAAATAAAAAAAAATATTATATTTATTATAATATATTATTATATATATTCGGTTCGGTTTGGCTTGGTATTTTATTGGTAATTTTTATCCACAGATCTCCACTCATACAAACATCCCCTCACAAGAGGCGCGTGGTGATAGAAACGTGGCGGTGACGACGAAAGAAAGAAAGAGAGAGAGAAGCTCCCGGTTTTATGGAAATCCGTACAGTGGTTTAGAGTGGGGCTGTGGGCGGCACTGTACGCTCCAGCCTCTGGTTTTATCATCTTTCTTATCCCATTTGCCGGGAATTTGGTCCCACCACTTTTCTTTTTCCCTTCTCCGCCCCTCCGTTCACACTTCTACTTGCTTGAGTCCCTCTATGCACAACCTATTATTCACCTTTTTACATGGAGTATTATTTGAGTCATTATTTATATGAGAAAATTTGAGTATGTTTTTTATTTTTTCAATCTAATTTGTTTTTTTCAAACAAATTTAGTTAAATACTCCGTATGCGTTGTAAAATTAAAAATAAAATTTAAATATTTGAAAAAAAGTATAATAAAAAAACTATTTCCTTCGTCTCTAAACAAACTACACTATTATTATTCTGATTCACTCATTAACGTTTGTTTATATACATGTCTTTATTGGTTTTTTTGAAAAAATAGAATATTTTTTTGTCACTTCTTATTTTATAGTAATACTTTTGATGTATAATTTTTAAATATGTACATTTATTTCTGCAACAAATTTAAATAAAATAAATTTTAAAGACATGGTTTTGGACAGAGGAAGTACTCCATATGATATATGAAATGTAACGTGATTAGGTTATTTTATCAAATTGTATAAAATTTATTTAAAGCATGAAAATTCAATTTGACCTAAAAAAAAACAGTAGGCGTAAAGAATTTTTTTGTTTTAAAGAAGAATACTGCGAAACCGAATAGAAAAAAGTAGTAGATGTTTTGTGCATATACTGTAAAATTTGCCAATAGTTAAATCCAATACTCACTCCTTTTTTTTAGAAAATTTTTTGCATTCGTTAAGAAGTTTGAGTGATGTTAGGAAAAGCTGTTAGATAGTAATGGGATATTATTATTTCTTATACCTGTTCTAAAACAATCTTTCAATTTTTAAGACGTTATAAAATATAATGGTCTTTCTCATTCATACTGAAAAGGTCATTTATATTATATTTCTTTCTTCTTCACAAGCATTAAAACTTAACCATAAAATTTTATTTTTTTAATTAAATTTTAATTTGTGTCTTTTTTTAAATGAAAAGGTAATTAAATATAGAATACGGAGTACTACCTATTTACGTCATATATAGATGCATAATGACTTGTTCTTTACCACTTTATACTCCCAAACTTGTGCTACATTATTTATTCTCAATATACTCCATATTGAAAGAATAAACTTCATTATTTCAACATCCCATATATTCTACTCCCTCCGTCCACCTAAGTTTTTCTCGTTACGCGTTACGAGGCTTGACCGACTTTATTTTCAATTCAATTTAATTGATTATAGGAGTAAAATTTTAAAATAAAATTTATATAGTAATAAACTACATAAAAAGTTCTACAAAAGTAGAGGTGACAAGACCATATTATTTTATGAAATGACTAGTAAAAATGAGCAAACAAAGTGAGTAAAGTTTGATTCTGTGAATAGTGTCTGGGAAGATCTATGGTGGACAGAGAGAGTACTAAAATGAGCGATTTTAAAGTTTTGATATCGCCCCTAACGACCATCACAACCCCTGCAATTTTAATTTACTCCATAAGTGCGGTTAAATTTATGGATCAGAATTTTGATCAAAATTTTAAACAAATTTATATGGTGTAATTGTGGATGCTAAGATGGTTGTGAGGGTATGAGGTCGGGGATGATGAGTTTTACGGGGGAAGGAAAGTTAGAGTAGATAAAAATTATCAATTTTACGAACGGAGTATCGTAAGTGTCCCAATTGAAATAGTATTAGTGCGTGTATCATGATGTTACGCTATTTGGGATGATATAACTTTATAATTTTTTTATAAAAATATCTGTACAGTCAATCATGACTAATTCCGTGACAAATACACGTTTTTTTGTAGTGTATCTGCAAGCACATTGATGAGTTGAATAACAAATTCATAGGAACCCCTCTGTTTTTGATATTGTTGAACAAGTTTTGCAAATGATATTATTTAATTTGGATTCTTATATCCCAAAAAGATTATTTACAATTTTTTTGCTTAAAAAAACTTCCTAATATTTTCGTTTATCAATTTTCCTATCTAATTTAAATAAGTTATAACATTGCACATTTCATTTCTATCATTCTTTTCCTCTGTAAAAAAATTAAATCGGGTAAAATTAATTTGGCAAAGATAGATAATTGAAAAGTCAAGATTAACCACATAGCATTGCATGTTATATTTGCAAAGGGTAAAAAACTTACCCAACAACAATGATGTATGGTAAAGTTTGAAAAATAAAAACTATTTGAAATTATGTCTAAATAAATTCAATAAACACATATATAAGAGTATTCGTAACAAAGCATTTGGTTCATCCCCCAAATAATTCATTGCCATATGATCGTTGATTGAACAAACATACTACTCCCTATCTGGCATAAACTCTTCCTACTTAGTTTTTTAATCAAACACAGTGATACTATATGATTAGAAATTATATAAAATATGTATTCTCTCCGTCCAATTAGAAATTAATCTTGTTTTGATCTTTAAGAGATTTAAGAGGAGTATATTTTAGTGTTGACTTTCCAAAAATATCATTGGATGTAATCGGTAAAAGTAGATGTGATGAATAAATTAGTTGTGAAAATGTGTGATGCAATAGCATGTAGTATAGTTAAAAATGACCTTTTAGTAGAAATAAGAAAGTTCTTTTTACACAAATGAAAAAAAAAGAAATAAAATTTGTGATATGTAGAGAGTATTTAATTATGATATAAATTTAATATAATTCGGTTGCTAACATAGTTTTGAATAGGGGAATATACTCCCTCCGTCCCATTTTAAATTGCCTGTTTGCCTTTTTTCTCCGTCCCAAAATAAGTTACCTGTTAGTTGTTTTCGTAAACTTTTAAAAATAAAATACCTAAACTACCTCTAAAATAAGTCACACTTCTTCACCTTATCTTCTCATTCATCATCACCCCTCCTAAAAAGCAATGTCAATTTCGGAAAATCAACTCTATTTTTTATTTTCCTTAAATATGTCCAAAAGTCAAAACAGGCGATTTAAACTGGGACGGAGGGAGTAGCACTAAAACACCTAAATAGCATCATATATGTTTTTTTCCAATGTAGTACTTTTAGTCATTATCCATTAGTCATTATTCAAATAAATGTTCACCATCACTGGTCATTATTACTCCTTCTGGACATTATTAAGTGTTATTTAAGGAATAAAAAATTTAAGTGCTATTTAGAAAAATGAATTAAGTCTTAGTGTTGTTTAGTGCAAATATTTCTTTTCAATTATGGCCGGGTTTTTGAGCTGATGAGCGGGAAAAAGAAAAAAGAAAGAAAAATGGCGCGTTGTGAATATTGTGTGAATCATGGTCACTCACACACAGAACAGAAAGCTGATCCGAAATGAGAGAAGCGATTAGGTGGGTCCGAAGTTAAGGGAGGTCGCCTCAGCTTTTTTCTTTGTCTTCCTCCCGCAGAACTCTCCCAATGAACCACCCACCGAAAACCACGCTCTTCGCCCTTCTTCCCACGCCCAAGAAAAGAAAAAAAAGAAGAGAGAAAATGGTAATCATTAGAGTTCTTCATCATCATCATCATTAATTAATAATTGTGGTTTCATTGATTGGCCCTTCTTCCCCAACGAGCCCCCAAGCTTCCTGAATTGCCCAATCACCATATTTCCAGGTTGGTTTCACTGAGTTTGTAAAAATAATAAGGCCCATTTCGCTGTTCTTGATTTGGATTTTTCGACTGTGATCCCACATAGTAAAATGATTATTGATTGATTGATTATTATTATTATTATTATCGGACGCATTAATTGTAAATTAGCTTTTTTTATTATTGTTATTGCATATGCTGTGTTTGTTGAAATGACTCAAAGAATGTAAGATTAATTGGAATCTGAGGTTGCTGAGAATGTTAGATTGGTGGTGGGAATGTGAGGCTGGAATCTCACGTCATCTTTTACCTTAGTGGGTATCACATTCTTGCAATGAGCCCAAACTTTAGTTGTTTCTTTAGACCAAATGAGGTCATCCTAGTTTACCAATTGTACATTGCAGTTGGAATGTGATATTACAATATTACCCCTAGCTATAAGATCACCTTCATTCCAATCGTCGTTAAGGAACTTGTTCAACAAAAAGCTGCACGTTTGTGGTTGAAGGCTCCAGAAAGGGTATATACTCTAACACGTCCCTTCACGTATGAAGTACATACTCTAACACGTTCCTTCACGTGCATGCAAAGGTTATTTGCTCGAGCCTTACACATGATGATTATATTTTTTTGAAAGTGAATGGCTCAACCATAAACTTAAGCTTGTAGTTGAAGGTCCAGAAATTGATATATTTACTCTTAACAACAATCGTTTTCCCATGTTTTTTTTTCAATTTGTTTAATGCCTAACTATATTTTCGTTCATTATTTTAGATATGCAAATGACAAGCTGTAGTTTGTCATTATGAATTGTGATGATTTTGGTAGACTCAACACTTCAAATGGTGTCACTTGTGACCCTCCATCAAGTAGTAGCAGTGAGCTTGAAGGTGCAAAATGATATATATTTTCTTGAACAATATTTTAATCTACTCTCTTTGTTTCTAAAAGTTCTCATTTTTCTCTTTCACGGAGTATAAAAAACCTATCTCTAAATGAAATGAGTCCCTTTTCTGGGACAACTTGAAAAGGAAAGCAGAAGTTCTTTTAGGGACGAAGGGAGTGTATAGATTCGACTCATCTTGTAGTACTCCATATTTCTTATCTTTTCTTGCTATACAGTAAAACGAAGAAAAAATGTAGTGCAATGGCTGAAAAGTGTTCTCCCCCATTTGAGTTTGCCCATAAACACATCAGAAGAGGAACTACGAGCAGTCTTACTCGATGGTAGCGTCTTGTGCCAACTACTTGATAAGTTGAAACCAGAATCACTTTTTACCGAGGTAATCAATTTGCACGTGCATTTTACTTGACACGAAGACGTTAAGGGCTTGTTTGGTTGAGGCATTTTGGAGGTGATGAGATGAGAGGATTGACTTCTGTTTTATGAGTACTAATTACTAAAGATTAATTATTAATCTCAACTTATTAGTTTTAGCCTAGAAAATATTTCCTTTTTAAGCCATCCTATATCTTTCTTCCCCTTCCATGGAAGGACTTTTTACTTTTTTACAACTAAAAGACTATTTTTCACATACTTATGTTAGTTATGTAGTTATGTACTATTCACCCCTTTTACATATCTATTCAATCTACCACACCACCAAGAGCGAAAATCAAAAGTCACATTTTTTCATCTTACATTAAAATGCGTGCAAGTCAAAACAAGAAGAAATATAGGAAGTTACTAAGCCTCCCAAAAAAAGTGTCCTATTTGATTATCCCAAAACAGCAAAATTTTAACATAAAAACCATTTTTTGTAATAGTAAATGTATTTGTTTTCAGAACAGAATTCTAGATTCCAAACAAGTGAAGTATGTCAAATTTAGTTAAACCGAAACAAGGGCTAAGAATTTATCTTCATGATGGTTGATTCTAGGCAAGAGATTCTGTTAATTCTTCCTGCACGTACTCAGAAAATGTTAGAAGATTTTTATCTGCCTTGGAGAAAATGGGCTTGCCCCGCTTTCAGGCATTAGACCTAGAACATGTAAGTAAGTAGCGCTAATTCATTGTTCAAACATACCCATCCATGATTTGGTGCTTTAAAGTCACATTATATGACTGCTAAATTTTCCAGGGATCCATGAAAGCTGTGCTTGATTGCCTTATAGCACTTCAAACACAATTTAGGATGCAAAATGGGGCATCTGAACTATCTGAAAATGCTATTATGATAAAATCAAAATCAATGGTGGAGCATTATGGATGTGATGATGGTGAAAGAGAAGAATCGTCTAAACTTCGTCCCTTTTCATCTTTAAGAGAAGATAGACCAAAATTAGAGTCAAAATCGGAACGTGCTTTACGTAGTCCTGTTCTGGCAGGTACCGTGTGTAGATTCATTAAATGACACAAACTACATTTTTATTGATATTTCCTTTGATGTACAACTTTATAACTTCTAAAGACTACAACGAGCAAACCTTAGGCCCCCTAAACCTAGTGTTAGTATAATTTTCATTTTATAACAAAGTTAAAGATCGGACTTCCCTTTGCTCCATACTTTTTATGAAGTTTTGGGTAGTAAATGGTTCAATGCATCAAGGGTCTAACAGAAACTACATCTCAGCTAGTCTCAGTTTGTCACAGGGGTAAGAAATTATGATGAATTGTCTGAAACCAACAAGAGATATGTTATGAAGTGCTTTTCTTCTTTCTGGCTACATTGGCTTATTTATTTAAATTCTTCTTTAAAGAAGCTGCACTGATACATCACATTGGGCACAAGTTCCATGAAGTGTTTCAGCTTAAACAAGGAAGTTATGCTGATCTTCCCGACTCAAAGATTTCCGAAATGACGAAGTCAAACAGTTTGGATGTAAACACATTTGCTCAATGGATGCTTTATTATTGAAGAAACTGCTTTAAGGTTCACATCTTCCTTTTAGTATTAATTATTCTATATTTTGATTTCTTGTCTACAGAATGCTCCAACACAGTCGCTTTTAACGGTTGCAAAGGGAATCATAGATGAAAGCATTGGACGGAAGAATGGAGAAATTCCTCATGTATGTACTTAGGACATACACTTGTTGCCTCCCAACTTTAAGTCGTGTGAACCTCATTTTGACCCGTAAGTCCGTAACCAAGAAAAAGTTCATTATACCCTTAGGGAATGTTCAGATGGATGTTTTTGGAGAGCTTTCGAGTGCCTAGTCAATATCTTGATAGATGCTTAAGATTTCATCAAGATGGAAGGAATAAATAATAGGTGATCATATAATGTTTCAACTACACTTTTTTTCATTTTTAGAAACATTATTCCCACAAAAAAAGTTTATGTTTGTGTGGGTGTGTGTTATGCCCTCAAAGACCTTCAAAACCTGCATCCAAAGAAACTCTTAGGGTCTCGTTGGATGTAGGGATTTATAGAGCTTAGTCTATATATTGATAAATAGAATGTTAATAAACATGAAAAAAAGGCTGTATAATTACTATTAGTGTTGAACTTTTTGATATATTCTGGTCATATGGTATGTTAATCTTTTGATAATTATAAAATTTCAAAAATAGAAAAGCCTTCCATTCATCCAGACAATATAACTTGGGTATTTGGATGCAAGGATGTATTGGACATTTTATCTGGATAGGGTCAATGTGGGGTTAAGTTTGGGCACATAGTGATATTATGGTTCTATAAAAATGAAGGCATTAACCCTCATTTAGTTGCTTTCTTTCTCTTAGCGTGTAGTATGCTTGTTGAGAAAAGTGGTGCAAGAGATAGAAAGACGAATATCAACACAAGCAGAACACTTGAGAATGGTATGTGTGCTACATCACTTTGGCCCTAACTCTCCGAGTTTAATATGTTTATAAATACAACAACAACTTACCTAGTAAAATCCCACAAAAAGTAGGGTTTGGGGAGGTTGTGTACGCATGCTTTACCCCCTACTTGGAAGTAGAGACGATGTTTCCAAAAGACCCCTGGCTCTAACACCAAAACATGGACAAAGTATGCCCAATAGCATTAAGAGAATATGTTTGTAAATATATTTTATTTTTTATTCTGTATGAAGCAAAACAACCTCTTCAAAGCTCGGGAGGAGAAGTATCAGTCGAGGATAAGAGTTCTAGAGGCTCTTGCAACAGGTACTAGTGAAGAGACACAGGTATTGCTTTTACTGACATTACCATATTCTAAAGCCATAAAAACCTTTCCCCTTCTTATCAATGTTTCCCTTGCATAATGGATTATTTTCTTTGGTGGTTTTTGAAGATTGTCATGAATCAACTGCAACAACTTAAGGTGAATTCTTCTTTTCTTTTTTTAAAAAATTTATTCTAAGAAAGTAAATTTTGGGCATTAGATTTTTTTTTGCTTCCACACATTAGATTGAAAGGACGAAGATGGAGGTGAAAAAGAAAAGTGAGGAACATGACGTGTGTAGATTAATGAAGGGAAAAGATGATACAATCGAAGAGATCACAGCTTTGAAGCAAGAACTGGAAACTGCTCGCGAAACTTACGAACATGACACCCGAAGATCTCAACAAGAGATTTCAGCTTTGAAGCAGCAACTTAAAGATGCTCAAGAAACTTATGAGCAATTCTGCTCACAAGTGGAACATGATTGTAGAGGACATCAAGAGGAGATTTCATCTTTGAAGCAAGAACTTGAAACCGCTCGAGAAACTTATAAACAGCAGTGTTTAAAAGTTGAAGACGAAGCTAGAGGATCTCAAAAAGAGATTGAAGCTTTGAAGAAAGAATGTGAAATGGTTCAGAAAACTTATGAACAGCATTGCTCACAAATGGAGAAAGAGGCTAAAGGGTCTCGAATTGAGTTGGAAGATAAATTGAAGGAAGCCACGGGGCTTTTAACAGAAACAAGAAATAGATTGAAGGAAGTTGAAACACTTTTAGAATCAAAATCCCTTCAGTGGAAGAAGACACAGAACATCTATGAAATATTGACTCAATTCCATCTTGGTGCACTACGTGTAAGCTCTGATTAAACTCTTCGTGTTTCTAAATTCTATGCTTTCCGACGTGTCTATTATGTTAACTTTAAGACATGACTTCAGGAGCTAAAGTTTTCATCACAGTCAATAAGGCAAGAAGTTGTGAAAACACAGAAGATCTCTGCAGATGAATTCAATTGCTTAGGTCAAGTATGCTTTGAACAACTTAGAGTGTGTTTGGGATGGCTTACATTTTATGTGATTTCTCATTTAAGCACTGAAACTGCTCTTCTCAAAGGGATCCAATTCAGTGCTTTCGTTAATAAGCATAAGAGCATCTTTAATGGGGGGGAAAGTTCAAGAAATGGTGATGTGACTAGAGTGGAGAGAGGAAAGGAGAGCGAGAGGGGAAGAGGGGAAAGTAGTTGCATCGGGGAAACAGAAAGAAAAGGGAGAAGAAAGAGAAAAAGAAGAAAGAAAGGAGAAATAATAAAAGAGAAAGAAATGAGAGAAAAGAGAAAGCGGGAAAAAGAAAAAAAATTAAAGATTACTTTTTTATATTGATAGAAAACTTTTTTACAGTAATTATTTTTTTTATTCAATTTAATTTTTCTGGGACACACACACACACAATTTAATGATACAATTTAATTTTTTTACATATATAACTAAAAATATACTCCGTAAATTGAAGTAACTTTTTTTTAAAAATAAATTATTTTGATTCAGTATATTATATTACGTGGATAAAATAAATTTATGACATTGGGGTCCACCATTTAAAAAAGGGAAACTGGTGGGGAAAGTTAAGGAAAATGGTCTAGAATTAAGAATAGAAGGGAGAAGAGGGAAAGTGGGGGAATGGATAAAGATGCTCTAAAAAAAGGTTTTTTTTTCTTCAAAATTGAAGCACCTTTGACATCTCCTTTCCAAATGTATATTTTCTTAAATCAAATTTACCCTATAGATAGATAGCATTTCTTATTCAAAAATAAGTTGTCCCAAACACACTTTTGCTGATAAACTCATTCCGATATTATTATTATTCAGTTTTAAGGTGAAATGAAATTTTAAATATAGGCAAGAAGACCAAAGCATTGGAAGATGCAGCTGCAAACTATCATGCAGTTCTCGATGAAAACAAAAAACTACACAATGAAGTCCAGGAGTTAAAAGGTGATTTTTACAAAACAGAAATAGAACTCAATCTATAATTTTGTAACTTATTAAATTTTATATTACTGTTCTCACAGTTCTGTATAATAGGTAATATAAGAGTATATTGCCGAGTTAGGCCATTTCTTCCTGGACAGAAGGACAAACATACGATTGTTGATTACGTTGGTGACAATGGGGAGCTGATTGTCATGAATCCCTTAAAACAAGGAAGAGAAGGGCGTCGTTCATTCAGGTTCAATAAGGTCTATGCTCCTGTTGCAACACAAGGTTCAAAAACAATTTGAAACTCTATATTTGCTGTGTGTGTGTGTGTGGGGGGGGGGTATGTGTGTCTGTGCGGGGAAGGGCTCTAATGCAACAATGCTTCTAGGCTCTAACGGAAACAGTCTCTTTGTTTTTACAGGGGTAAAACTCTGTACATTTTAACCCCGGACCTCAACAGTGTTGTCTTTTTCTGCATTTTACGCTGTTATCTTTTAACGCTGTTCACATTACCCTTCAATACTTGTTGAGGTTTTCTCATAAATAACTTCTCTACTCCTAGGGACATAGTTAAGGTTTGCGTGCATATAACCCTTCGAGACATTCCCTACCCATTCTTCCAAACGGGTAGGGCTGTAAACAAATGCTAAATGGATAGGATGTGGCATTAGTATATATGCTTCCGTTAATTTTATCGAATATCGAATGTGGATACAAATATTGACATATGGATAAAATCAACATCTGTATCTGCATCCATCCAAATTCAGATATCGCACACCCACACCCAAATATATATAAGATGTCAAGTCTGTTTTTAGCAACTTTAACATTTAGGTAATACTTGTTCAAATATTTTCAGCTCAAGTATTTTCGGATATAAAGCCATTGATACGATCAGTTTTGGATGGTTATAGTGTGTGCATATTTGCATATGGCCAAACAGGCTCGGGAAAAACTTACACAATGGTAAGAACATCTCTCTGAACAATATTTCTTTTTGGTTACTTCTATGCATCCCCTAATATTTCTTCTGTCTGGATTCAGACTGGCCCTGATCAAGCAACTGAAGAGGAATGGGGTGTTAACTACCGAGCTTTAAATGACCTCTTTCAGATTTCACAAAAGAGAGGGAATGCCACTGCATATCAAATATCAGTTCAAATGGTAGAAATATATAATGAACAAATTCGCGACTTACTCTCAACCGATGGCTCTCAAAAAAGATATCCTTAAATACGTTGTCTTTTCATGATTTACAAAGATAAAGTTTATTTTTTTTACTTTTCATGACATTTGTGCTTTCTGTTCCTTGGGTCTAGTTGCTACTATCGGCATGTGTGTTTCTTGTCTCTGTGCTCTTACTTTACTTGTGCTACCATGTTTACTTTGTTTTTGTGTTTGATTGTTTTTGGGTTTATTGTTGTTGTTGTGGTTGTTGTTGTTGTTGTACTTTTCATGACATTTGTATTCTTTAATATACACACTCTTGCGGTTTTGCCAACAACCCTACCAAATGGGTTAGCTGTGCCAGATGCCAGCATGTATCAAGTCAATTCAACTGCGGATGTGTTGGACCTAATGAATATTGGATTGAAGAACAGAGCAAAAAGTTCCACTGCCCTAAACGAAAGAAGTAGCCGATCACACAGGTCCCTTAACAAAAATATCCTGATGTCATCTATAACGGGTATGAAACCTTTGATACTTTCATGGAAAGTGAAATTTAAACACACTTTGTTAAGGGAAACACCTAACGTTCTCCCTTGTCATTCACTTTTCATGGAAAGTAAAGGAGCTTCAACCTAATACTAACAACATTTCACCCAAACCTAAAAGCGCGTTTGTTATGATGGAAAAAAATGGCAGAAGATTGTTTACTTTTGGCATCATAACAAACACTCTCCTAAAGGTCATGCCTTAGAAGTGTTAATAGAACTAATAAATTGTGATGAATGCAGTGTGGTGACTATTCATGTTTGCGGGACGGATGTGAAGAGCGGTTCAACTATGCGAAGCAGTCTTCATTTGGTGGATCTTGCCGGAAGTGAGAGAGTGGATCGCTCTGAGGTAAAAGGTGATAGGTTAAAGGAGGCCCAACACATAAACAAGTCTTTAGCTGCCCTTGGAGATGTCATATCTGCTCTGGCACAAAAGAGCCCTCATATTCCATACCGAAACAGCAAGCTTACTCAAGTTCTTCAAAGCTCTTTAGGTATACTATGCTTTCGTCTATTTCCTCATTTTTTTTAAATTAGTAAATACTATATATTCATTCAAAAAAAGCGGTAAAGTTTGCATATGATGCTCTCAAGTAATAACTTCCAAAAAAGGAATAACAAGATGAAATTCCAAAGGCGAAAGGTGTCATCATCATTATAGGGGTTTTCCATTTTGCACGGGAAGTATCAAGAGAACGCGATGAGTTAGGACAGTTTCTCATTGAACAGTTTATATTATTTCAATGGTTACATAATGAGAACGGATGCATAAGAGATACTCCCTCCGTCTTCAACTTGTCAAACTTATCTTTTTATTTTCCTATTTGTGCACAGGGGGGCAAGCAAAGACACTTATGTTTGTGCAGCTAAATCCCGATCACAGTTCATATTCGGAGTCCATTAGCACATTAAAATTTGCCGAGAGAGTATCTGGAGTAGAGCTTGGTGCAGCCAAGAGTAGCAAAGATGGCAAAGATGTCAAGGAGTTGATGGAACAAGTACTCTTTCATCACTATACAATATACACATTATACTCTTTGGAACAACAATCATATTTCACGTAGGGGTAAGCACCCATGTTTGGGTGTCACATCATTTGAGGGGGGCTGAGTTTTCGTGTTTGATGGGGTGAACGAATTGCAAGTGACCAACCTGTTGTATTCAAAATATTAAAGAGACGCATGAGTTTATAAAGCCTTGAGTTTGACAAGCTGAATCCATGCAGATTGCTTCTCTCAAGGATGCACTGGCTAAAAGGGACGAGGAGATGGCGGCTTGGGAAAGATATCAAGAATATGATGCCAGGAACCACCAATGGCGAGAAACGTAGTGTGAACTCATTGAGGTATGTGTCTTCCTCACGAAGCAACATTAGTCAAATCAACAACATAAATGGTTAAAGAAAGTTCATATAGTACCATCCTGTGCATTCATATTGCCTCTCTAGTCTCCCCAAACCTTACTTTTGTGGGATTTTATTGGGTTAGTTGTTGTGTTCTTGCATTCATAGCCTTGTGATTGTGCATTCATATTTCTTCTTACAGACATTGATGGACAAGGCTCCCGTTAGATTTAGCAAGACGAACGCGTGGCTGAATTGAGATGAGACATGATTTATAACATCGATAGTTCAAGATCACTAAGGGATTCAGATAATAATTCAAAGCAGCACTCAAGTGGTATGAAACTATTGCTCCTTGTTTTCATTGGTCAGTTCCTTGTGTTTGAGATTAGGGTCATGCTACAATCACATCACGGATGACACCAAAGTTGACACTGCTAGTTTTTCAGAAATAATGATTTCTCGTAGTCAATGACCGTTATGTGTGTGGTTGTCTCCGGAGGTGTCAACCTTTGTGTCATTCCTGAGGCTAAAGCAGAATTTTCCTTGAGATTATTCCTCTATGTTGGTTTCAATGTCTTCTAACTTGCAACGGATGGGTCGGCCATCATCATAATAGTTGACCCGTTCTTGCCCACCCCACCCTGTGGCAGTTAGAGTTAGACACGGGCCGGGCCTCGGCAGGTTTGGTCCAGGCCCAAATATGTTTTTACTTGAGGTTGTCAAAGTGTATTTGCGCCTCCAAACCAGCCCCCATTTAATGGCCTTTGGGCATGGGCAGATAGTCCGGCGCATGACGAGCTGTCTGGCACATCCACGAATTATAAATTTAGTTAGAACCATCACAGTTCTTCTAACATCAATACTCGGTGTCATATTATGTCATCACGGTGTTTTGGGCTCTTTCAGTGCTCCGTTGAGCCCATGACCACCCCACTACCCTCTATAGCGGCTACCCCACCTTGTCCCTTCGTCAAACGATTAATCTCGCATCATTGTTTTATTGTCTCTTTGTTTACTATGTTTCTTTTTGAAGACACTACTCTCCACTTATCACTGTTTATCAGGGTCCTCTCGGAAACAGCCTCTCAAGCCATTGATGCAAGATTGAGCTCATTTGTGAGTCCAAACCAAGCTATATAACAAAGGCCCTTTGGTTATGAAAAAAAAAGTGGCTTTTTTTTTATGCAGGCATTCTTCTGTTGCTGTGAACATATATAGCAATTTATATTGTAGTATATTCAACACACTATAGTTTAGGATCACTACATACACTTTCACGGGCGTAAAAAAGGAGGCTCGGCTCAATTTGTTCTGCACGTTCTTATTGTTAGTTCGTCTCGGTATATTATGCTTGTTTCCATTGATATAACTTATCACGTGGTTTTTAGTAGTTTTCTCTTTGTATGAACCACAATCACATACTATGACGTACTACGTAATTTTAACTTTTTATTTTTGTCATTTGATGCAATGCATCACATTAACTTATCAGGTGGTTAAGAGCACTGAGAATCTCTTTTTAGGCATGAACCTAGTTGCAATAAACTTCCCACTCAAGCAGACCATATTTATATGCTTTATGTTTAAATATAAATGGTATCTATGTTCGTTTCAGGATTATCAATATGAAAAATCGTTTCGTATTACTTCAATACCATACCGGCCATTTCGTTTGTAATGCTTTTTTCCAGTATATTTTGAATTATTATTTTATACATATTTTTGGGGAAATTTCAAAAACGATTCGATGCATGCTCACACTTCGTATATCTTTGTGTTAGTTTGGACTCGTATTGTGCGCAATGGGCAATTTGTGCTGGTTAGGCCTTTGAATTTCGAGTTCTGGGCTGTCTCGGTTTTTATTGTTGGGCTAGCATCATCCCAACACTCCCACCATTTAGAAAGTGAAATTAGAAGAAAATTGTTAGACAAAAACAATACCCCTCCGTCCCAATTTTAATTACGAGACAAACTTTTACACCGTCTTTTAAAATCATTTTATTTATAAAGTGATATATCAATAAAAAATAAATTTTGATAAACTTTGATCCCAAATTAAATAAAAATGATATTAAGTGTTGATACAAATATAATTTTATTAAATTTATTATATAAAATATTTTCAAAATATTATTTTATCTAATTAATATGTAATATATATTTTATTTAATGATAAGTCAAATGTTGAAAATGATTAACTGAAAAATATAAAAACTTGATAAATATCCTTGAATAGAGGTAATAATAAATTTTGAGATGAAGTGGATATGATAGTTGTGCAACCAAAATAGCCTGTATGGGAGATGGTGAAAATAGAAAGAATTATACAAAGTAAAGCAAAATGAGCATAAAAAACATTATCAACGATAAAAAATTATCCAACATGTAGAAAATTAAAAAGAAAAAGAAACTTTGACCGACATAATTCATTAAATTAATTGTATTTTATCAGTCATTAAATTAGATTAAAATACAACACAGTAAGAGAGAGAAAGGGTATGGTTGGAAAGAGTATAGTGTATAATAATAACACAACACAACACTGCACATTCTTTTATTTCATTGTCGACAAAAGTGGTGTCCATCTTTTCCTAAAGCCAACCCCTTTTCTNTTTCATTATTTATTTGATAAAATGAATTGTTATTGTTACTCTTACTCTTTATAACTTTTGACGTGATTTCTAAGTACGTAAATTAACTTTTAAATAAAATGAATTGAAAAAAAATGAGATTCTTTTTCATTCTGCGTAAATGGAAATTCATTGCGAGACATGAAAAGTATATTGTACTTAATTAATAGTCCATATGTCTTATTGTTTTTGTTTCATTAACTATGAACTACGGAGTAGATCAAACCAAATTTAATTTTACAGGAATAACATTTTCCCAATTTTCTTCAGAAAAAATATATGGTCCAAATTATTTATAATCTCTTCTTAAAAAATGACTATATACTTGCTTTTCATGGTTCAATACATTTCCAAATGAGTTAAATTGAATAAAATAAGTATGATACTCCTAAAAAGGAGCAAATAATATAGAGCATAAGGCATCATTTTGTTCAACTTATTTTTTTTTTTGTTTATTCAGATCAGATCAGAAACAATTTTAATTATAACTACAATTAAATCAGATCAGACAAGATCCTCAAAATTGAGCGTCAATATTGATGTGAAAGGGTGTGGATATATCAATACAAGTGGTATGGGCATGATGTTTAGTGATACTACTCATCGGCTCCTCGCAATTTCCGGTCTTCCATAATTAATTAATGGTCAAACAAACAGGCAAATCAAACACCCTTTTACAATAAAGAGAAGAGAGTATTGGAGAGAATATGCCAAATTAATGAAATTACTAATAAAGTCTACCCCAAACGTCAACATTTTCAAGATTTAGATTAGATGTGTCCATTTGTTAATTATTAATAATACTAATTAAATAATTAATTAATAATACAGGCTTTTATTATGAAATTAGCTGTAGTAATATTGGCAAACTGTTTATACGGAGTTACACACTCCTTTCCTGCGCCTCACATCAATGTGTGTGTATATATATATACTCCGTATAAATCTTTCTTTCATGAATTATCAGTTCTATATTATTTCGTCTTTCGATAATTTTTATTTAATTTTGGTTTTTAGCAATCATTTGATAAATTAAATTATGCACCTCATTCCTTGTTTTTTTAATACTTTTGATGTAATACTACTTTTTATTTTTATACCAATTTTTAAGTAAAATCCTTCTTAAAAGAGATAAATTGGGTACGTTAGAGACAGAGGGATTAGTTGCGTTGTCTAAAGGCGTAGTAGCTCAACTGGTCGAGAATGTGGTGTCATATGAGATTAACCCGCGTTTGAATCTTGACAAAAACGAAATAAAAAAGATGACAATGCCAGCAAGTATTAGAATTTTAATTCTCTCTCGACTAAACTGAAATTATAACTCTATTTAATTTCTTAAAAAAAGGATGGACCTCGTCCCCGAAGGCCCCTTTAGATCCAGCAGAACGGTCACAGAGAGGATGTAAATTGGATTTTAATTGCAGATTGATAGCAAAGAGTGGAGTCTGCACACAGTACTTGTGTAGGCTCTATGTTTAGCATAGTTATCTCTCACCACAATTGTCAGGAAATTTCAAAATTCTTACTCTCTTGACGTCCTTTATTTTGCCAACTCTGCAACACCAAGTATTTAATTTCTTTAACCTACTACTGTTCGAGTCAATACTAAGGGACTTAGTTGTGCATCCCCGCAATGTTTGGTGGGCCAACCACACGCTTTATGTACTCCACTTTTAGGCTATACTATTCCGTAATTAAAGTTGCACACCTATACGCCTACACGGGCATACCCCCCTTCTTTTCAAAATACACATTAAACTTTACATTTTATAAATAAAAAAAATTAAACTTTACATTACTCTATTTATTCTTATATTTATTTTTTCATTAAAATTTTATAAATTATCCCTAGTTACAGCTGGTCTTCTAATATTTAATTCCCAATTCTAAGATATTAAATAAATGGAACTTAATTTTTAAAAAATTAATCTATACTAAGTCCTTCAGATATTATATGTAGAAAAAATATTTCGTCTAAAGAAGTATCTATTAAATTGTTTTCAAAAATTGAAAATCATTTATGTAATACCTTAGAACTGAGAGCTAAATATAGAAAATTACCAGCAATTAGAGACTATTTATGGAATTATTCTTATTTATATAAATATATTTATTAAACTAGGCGAGGTCAAATAACCAAATTTTGGAATATGAAGCTTTGTACCAGGGGTCAAAATCTGTATACTAATAAATGGATCCTGAAAAATGGAGTGACATGTGGAGCAATACATATAATTTTCACTCTCCAAATAAAACTACAGCATGGAATTCCAACAATTCATTTCATACGTTTCTTTTTTTTTAATGTCACGCGATTAACTACACACTTTCAGTTTGGCATAAAACAAAGCAAAAGTCTGAATACTTTTAGGTCTCTTTGGTGTACAAAATTTAAACTATGAAATTGGAATTGAGGATTTCAATTTCAATTGTGGTGTTTGGTAGCACAAAAGTTATGTGGATTTGGAATTGATAGTGCAAAAAATGAATTGGAATTGATTGAATACATTTCTATGGATATGAATTCTAGGAAATTTCAATTACATTTCAATTCCAATTCCGTCAATTTCGTCTACCAAACAGACCTTTAGAGATAGTTTGATGTACATAATTGATGAAATTGGAATTGAATTGAGAGTTGAAATTACTATATAAAACCAGAGTTGATTGACTATTCAATCAGAGTAATAACAAACGTAATTGTTCCAAAAAATTACAAAAACCATAAAAGAAATGAACGGAAACATACCAAATAAAGAATGATGAAAAAAATAAATCAGAATGAATCAAATGATCGGTTAGGTATTTGGATACTGTACAACGTAATTTTTCATACCGCAAATGTCAAACCTAACATATATATTAACATACTTCCTCCGTCCCTAAATATTTGCAACATTTGCTTTTTCAGCGTTGCGGGAACTTTTGTTTATTTCTACGTTTTCATTGGTTATTTGATAAAATAAAATATTATTGACACCTCTTATTTAGAAGAACTTTTCATGTAGTTTTTTGATATGTAAATTTTATTTTTTATTTCTATACCAATATGTAAATAAAATGAATTGAAAAAACTTGATATTTTGCCTCGGGAATACAAGTGTGACAAATATTTAGAGACGGAGGGAGTATTTTACGTATATTAATTTTTTAGATATCTTCATTAAGTAATTAACATTATGCAGCATTCAAAATGCTACTCCGTACATACTAGTACTTTTCTCCTAATAATTGACGCAATATTTTTGTATTGAACTTTTTGCTATGTTGTTAGAAAAATGTTTGTGAGATAGTTTTAATATTTCCACTTGTACGATTTTTGTTAGGAAAATTGAAACAAAACACTACAAACAAAACACAAGGAACTATAGTCTATAGGAAATACTCCTCCCAATTAGTACAAAGAGAGATGCCTACTTATCCAAATTCAATCAAACACTCGATTTATTTATTCATTTATTGAAGAAATCAACATTTGATTTTTAAATGTAAAAAAAATACATAATTTTTCATCCCAATGAGTACCAAAAGGATACCTATTTATACTAAAACCATCCCGATTTCGAAATCAAAATCGGTACAACAAAAAATCTTATGCCAAAATATTCGATACAACATACTCCTTCTGTCCAACATAAGATTCTCGTCACTATTCACATTATCAAACTTTATTTAATTTGTTTGCCTATTTTTGTGTCTTTTCATATAATTTTTAAAGATGTACTCCATCTGTCCACCATAGATCTTCCCAATAGTCCTTTTTCTATGTCCACAATAGATCTTCTCATTTCATTTTTTAACAAATAAAATACCACAACTACCCCCACTTACTTTATTTATTACACCTCACCCACTTCATTTAATACACTCCACCCATTTTTCATTAAGGGTATTATGGTAAACTTTCACCTTTTTTCAACTCTCCTTAAAAACCACCAAAAGTCAAAATGAGAACATCTTAGGCGGACGGAGAGAGTAATTTTTATTTTCTAATTTCATGTCATTTTTTATATAAAATAAATTAAAAATAACTTTAAATAATCTTATCAATCATCATAAGACATAACAAGAACTTTATTTATGGGCAAAGGGAATAGTAAATACCAACCAAATTCATCCCATCCCCACCACCCATTTTCCAAATGGAGGTAAGGACTGCCAACCCTTACTAACTCTCCCCCAAACCAAACAAACCCTTAGCTTGGGAGTGCCCTACACCAGATTCACAATATCAACCCCGTCTAACTCTCAGGCCGGTCAAGTGTCATTATAACATGGCAGGACCATGCCCCCATCACCCATCATCACATGCATCAATTTAAAAAAATAAAAAAAAAAAGTATAGAGTGACTATTCTAACTAACAGCTACGAACTGTTTGACAGGCTTGCACAGAACCACGTGGTTCATTCATTATAAACAAACTTGCAAAAAAGAAGAAGAAAAACAGTGAGTACAATTATAACCAGACCAGGAAAACTTGAATAAAAAAGACCATTGTCTCCTCTCCCTTCACATTACAATTACATTGAAGGCCATGAAGATTAACAATGCAACAAAGATGCTCAAAACCCTCTAATCAAAAAAATAATAAAAACCCTAACTTACAAATGCCCAAAAAGATGAAGAGAAATCAAAGGGGAGTATATATATCTATATGCATATTTCCCCACCCTTTCTTCCTCTTTTCTCCTTGGTAGATATTATTATTATTGTATCCATTGATGAACTGATTACCTCATTACATATACACATCAAAGACCTCTCCCTCATCAAGGAAAACTCATAATGATTTTGTTAAGAAGCCCTTTTTTTTTCTTCAAAAGACTCAGCTCTCTCTATATATATATGCACAGCTACAACGAAGTGGTTTAGTTTATAAGGTTGTGTTTGGTTTCTCACCCTCCTGAAAAATCTCTAGCTCCTTCCAAACTTTAGGCTACGGCGGAGATGCTGCAGTTTCTGCCACAGTTGAAGCCCTCAATCCTCCTCGCCGGAGCCGGCTTGTTCCCAAATTTCATCCCGCACCCTCCCCCGCCGTTCTTGCGGGCAGAGGAGGGTGGGGGCGGGGTTGGAGATGGCGGCGGAAGTGCCATTGATTCTACTGCTGGGGATAAGGGGTCAAAAAACTCGTGCCCAAAATTGGCATCTTGGATCAGTGGGTTAGAAGCTCTGCCCGGCGGCGATCCAGAGAAAAACGGAGGCGATGGTTCCATCTGGAAACTGGGCCTCCCACCACCATTGCCATACCTTCCCTGAACAAATCAAGCAACAAGAGTTTCATCAGATCAGTTCATATATTTTTGAACTCCAAATTCAAATTGAGCAGAGGAAAACTTCTGCACTCAGACACTACTCCAGAGTGAAATATACTCATACACAAGATTTGTTTGGCTAGGTTCCAAAAAAAATAACAAATTTTTCAATAAATCGAACGAATTTCGGCAAACTAAGCAAAGAGATTCATTCACCTTGGCAAGGATGATGTCGAGAAGTTCAGTTCCAGGTTCGGAATCGCAGGCCTCCATCTGTTGACTGTAACAAACAACAGCAGATGTCCAAATAATTATGTAAATCCAGAAAAAAAGTCAACAGATAAGCTGAAAAGGGGAAAAAACACGGAGTAAATTTCAGATCGAGAGAGATGAATACCCGAACTGGAGCAAGCAGGGAGGTCTGATGGAATCAAAGGCGGAGGGAGACTTGAAGAAGCCGCCGACTCTGCGGGGCTTGGGGCAAACGACGCCGTTCGATTCCACTCCTCTCGAAGCCCTCACCATCATCATTTTCCTTTCTTCGCCTCCTTCAATCCTTTCTCTCCTCTCAATCGGAGCCTTCACAGATCCGAGATCTGCAAGAACAGCAACAAATCAACACATAAAACACTCGCGGATCTAAGCGCAGAACCGCATACATATATACACATCTGAAACTCTCTGATTTCAGACACGTGATTGAAAATAGAAAGGCTGGAATTCAGTGAAATGAAATATCGGTGACGGAGTGGAGAGAAAGAGAGAGCTGACCTTGAGGTGGCGCGCTCGGCGGCGGCGTGCGGAGGAGAGCGAAAGTCGGAATCGGGGAGACCCTTTTTTGAGTGGTGGCGAATAAGAGAGCGAGAATCGGTGGTGGTGCGGGGTGTATTCATAGGTGGAGGGGAGGGGGGTGACGTATCCGGGTCGGGTCGGTTTAGAATTGGGCTTTGTGGACTTTTCGGGGCCTGATTTTGATTCTTTACCATGTTGGGGGGGATTGCAAGACAGTAAATTAGCCCGGGGCTGGCCGGATATTTTTATACACATCATATGAGGAGCGTGTTTTATCTTTGACCCTGTTGTATTGGAGGGATAGGTCGAAAAACAAAACCAAAAACCAAAATGGAATCAAATCTATCAACCATGTTAAAAAAATTTATTAACTTATAAGTAAAACACATTCTAAAATAAGAATTGCATAATTTTTTTTAGAGAATAAGATTTACATTGTCAATAAAGTTAACATAACGTTTAACATTAATATTTTGTATAAATTTTTAATGACGTATCAAAACGCTAACACTAAAAACTATTGTTAGATAATCTTTTCAAAATACTAACGCTAATCTCTTAGCTAATGCCAAACGAGACCATATAATAACAAAAATACTGTATAATATCAATATATAGTACCATATTATTACGATGTGAATTTTTATTTTGATAATAAGAACATGAAATTTCTATTTTAGAGATAATAATTATGGTTTACTTCTATTTAAGTAATTTCTTCAAACATATTTGTCAAATTAAATAAAATAAAAATGTACTAAAATCAAATCGTTTTTATTCATTTTTTGGTTTCAAGGTGTTTGAAAACCAACAAATCGTTAAAATCCAAATCCAGATGTCGATTAATTAGTAGTGCTTTGTAATGAATAAAAAGAACCCTTGTTACATCGATAATTACTTCCAACTTTTAGCGTATCAATCAATTGATCATAGTTGCATGATATAGTACAAGAAGTGAGAAGATCAAATTGAGTATCTACATAAAAGAAGTAGGAGCAGGAGGTTATGATTGCTCGACCGGAACTACTAAAAATAGAGACCGAGAGTAGATGAATACAACAGAAATAACTAGAGAACTTTAATAACTTATTCACAATCCAACTAAAGCACAATAACAATCCATTTACTGATGCAAACTATCAAAGTTATCAAGCATGTATCAAGACTCCCCGCATTCAAAACACTTTATACTTAAAAATTGCAATGAGAAACTACTAGGGGCAAGCGTGGTATGGTATGATACGGTATTTAGCTCGTACCGATACCGTACCAAATATTTCGGTTTGGTATGGGATTTTGCGTTGTACCGACCCCGATCCTGAAGAATCGGTTTGGTATGGTTCGGGATGGTTCGGTATCGGTTTCAGTACGAATTGAGATAAAAATATGCGTACCTAGTTTACATCATAAAATATAACAAAACCTTTTATTTTTAAAAAATTGAAAGTACATTTAACCAAAGAATGATAAAAAATTTAAAAATGAAAAAATAAAATGCAAGAAATACTTATGAAAGTTAGTTTATATTTCACAAACTAAATAGAACGAGTAATAACAAAATATTATTTCAAACATTTGTTAATATTCTTATACTCATCTACAAAAAATACAAAAAATAAAAACTGGTGCTTAAGATCTCAATAGAACACCCACGTAGACTACGGAGTATATTTTTAAGTAAGTATATACACAGTACATTTTAGGCAGGGCTTATTATTCGAGAGTACTCTTTTTTATTAGAATGAGACCAAATGAAATAAGATCAAATCACATTAGAAAGAAATTTAAATATAAGTTCAAATCAAATTAGAAAGAAATTTAAATATAAAATCAAATCAAATTACCCCAAATGTACATCACTCCATTTTCAACCACCCATTTTTATTTTATTTTGTTTTTTTTTGAATTTCTTGCTTTTTTGTGAACAAAGAAGATGGGTGGGGAGTGGGGACAAATGGCTTATAACCCTAGCATTTTTCTTCTTCAAATCGCAGTCATTCAGACGGAAGCTTAGAACCTTAGAATCGCCACTTGTAATAAAAGCAGCGATTTTGCGATTGAACAGTTTTGTAGTGAGTGTTTTAAATTTCCAGGGGAAGGCGGCGATTTGAAGAGTTTCAGATGCAATCCTCAAGATGTGAAGGTAGTGGTTATCCTTAGTTGCTCCTTTTTTTTTATATTTTGATTTTGATATACGGCTTTTGGATTTTTGATTCATCCTCATTTGCTCCATTTTATTTTTCTCCTGTACATGTTTATGATTTTAATACTGAGTTTGAGCTTCAATCTGCAGATCCAATCATTATTTGTTCATTTTTTATTATTTTGATTTTGATTTGAGATTTAATCCTCTATAGATTCAAACACTTCTTTAATGCAAAAAAAAAAATCTCCGTATTATTGCTATTGATCCTTAAAAAATGCAAGAACATGTAATACTGAGATGAGTCACAAAAGTATTAATATACATGTAAACACAAACAATGTGTCATAGCATTCCTAACAATGCTATGAATAATTTTATAATGGTGCAGATTAAATTTGAAAATACTAAATTTAAATGTGCTATGACAAAGGGTAGAAAAGCGGACAAAGGAGAAACTGGTCCCTTAATAGTTTGCCATCGCAAAATTTAACCCTGCTCATCTTCTCTTCGCACCAATGGAGCTGTTTATCATTAACTTGTGCCATCTTTAGAACTCTAGACACCACTTTCAGGTCGATATGTGCCATTAGCCTCTCCATTTCTTCCTCTTCCCGGACCCACCTTCTCGTCAAACTTTTCTTGCCAGATATCCTAATCTCTTTCAGCTTTGATTTTTTCTGAGAACACACACCTTGATTTTCATAGATATATATACATATAATGTCAAGAACCTTTTCAACCGAAAGTTTAAACTTGTGTTGTAGGTCCATTAAAGATTTTATAGTCTCACATGCCTCTCAAGTGTGAGCCTTGCATGCAAATATTATTATTTTTAACTTATGGTTATAGGTCAAACTCTTGCATGTCTCTTCTCGTACATGCAAGATTTATTTTTGCTATAATGTGTATAAAACCTTTCTTAGGCTACAACTAAAAGTTTGATTTTTTGGTTGAATCACTACTTGACATGGTATTGGAGCATTACCGACCTAGAGGCCATGAGTTCGAACATCACTGTCACCCAATTTAAAAAAAAGCAATGTTTGCGTGCATGGTTTGAACAAACATAAATCTCGCATGCACGTGAGGGACGGTATAGAGTTTAAAACCTTGTATAGACATGCAACCATAAAAATTAAGCCTTTGGCTGAGTTAGTTTTTTGGCATACAACATTTGGACTAACCATACCATAAATTTGTGATCAAAAGGGTTCATTTCATTTTTTTTCTCTTGAAAATAAGTATTTGGCTTGGAACATGTTATTTTTACCTTAATTTGAACTTAGGTCTAGAGTATGAGATCACATTATATATCACTGCATACATACCTTCTTATTAACTTTTTTGAGGAGTTGGAGGAGAGTGTGATCAGCAGAGGCTCTACGAGTTTTTCTTAAGAGAGCAGTGATTATTCTGCACTGCTTGTCCTTCTTGTCTGTTTTGAGGAAACTCATGAATGTCCTCATTCCTTCCTCCATTATTCTAATGAATGATTCTGATGATATTCTTGATGATGATGATGATGAACAATGCTCTCCTTCTTCGTCTTCTTTTTTATATCCATCCCAATCTATTCAAATAGATAGTCGTGCTTAATAAAATTAACTACTTAACCAAAGCTTTCATATAAGGAAAAAAGACTAAAGTAGGACTAAAACATTGAAGATATACCAAAATAGGACTTCCATGTTTTTATTCCCGAAATAGGACTTACATTACCAAACATGGTCATATACATTACCAAGAAAGTACAGTAATTTGCACATGTACACTGCCACATTACCATAATGCAAAGTCACATTACCACAATGCAAAGTCCTATTCCGGGAAAAAAAACATGAAAGTCCTATTTTGGTACTTTTCTCTATGTTTTAGTCCTATTTAGGATGATTTCTATTCATATAAATGTGAGCATAATGTTTGTTCACATTCATTAAAGTTTTTATTAAGTAGAAAGTTACAATAAACCGTTATTTGAGAATGAAAAAAGTAACTCATGGAAACATTCATTTTCTAAATGACGCATACAACACATGCATCTATCACATTGTTCTCCACTTGAACTGCAGATCTCTAAATCAATAAGAATAAAGTATGGAACTTATACCAACATATAATCTCGTTTGTTTTTATCTCTTTTGACATTTTTTGGCATGGTAAGTCCTATTCTGTTATAAAAACATTGAAGATCTTATTTTAGTATATGAAGTATGTTTTCGTACTAATTAAGCATTCTTTCTTCTAACTATGCAAACATGTTTAAATCGTATTCGAAATTTAATAACATGTATTGCTATATCCATTTACATTTTGGAAAAATTCATTCCTTTTCTGTTACATAGACAACTTTGAGAACAAAGAAATATTAGTTACAAAATTCACTTCAAAAATTTCTTGAAGTCAAAATGTCAAGTTGATTTGGAGGGTAGAGAAATACTCCCTTTGCCCAGAACTAACGTCATGTTTACTGTTTCAAGCTTCCGATAACGTGTGTTTGTGCATGCATTTTCATTGATCATTTGATAAAATCAAATAAGCATATCACCACTTGAATTGTTTTGTAGAATTTTTGTTGTAGTTTTTAGATAGGCATGTTGTACTTTTTATTTATATACCTATTTGTAAATTAAATGAAGTTAAAAGTTATGAAATATTGCACGTTCTTTCAAAACATGACATTAGTTTTGGGACGGAGAGAGTATTAGTTAATGGGTTAACCTGATATGCAGTGTGGGACTTGAAGGAGCATAGGAGCTAAGCTTCTCATCCTGGCATAAATCTCCGGTCTCCTCCCATTTTCGTATGCCTCATTCTCTATGTACCTTTGGAGAAGGACTTGGAACTGCTGGAACTGTTGGGCGGTCGTCGCAGGGCATCCGCGGTCGGATTCAGATTCGCAAGAAGAAGACGTGATTAGAGTACTGAGGAAGTAGTTGTAGTTCCACTTGAGTGCTTCCCAAGTAAGGCAAATCTGGGCAACATAAGCTGCTTCTAGTTCATGATACAGGTTGTTTGGACATTCCCAAGGTAATTTCTTGTTCCTTATTAATGAGTGTTTTTCGCTGTTTGGTTCCCTTTCCGACTTTGATCTCGGGCATGTTTCTATCCATTCTAATGATTCTGGAAATTAAAGACAAAACCATCATTTTCATATCATGAAAATAGTATCCCTAGCTTAAGACATACAGTATAACCCTCCGTTCGAAAGTTTACTAATCAACATTATAAAACTATGATTTGTTCAAAGAATTAGGAAAGAAAAGAAATTACTGATGAAAAAAGGCAACGAGAATATTAATATTTGTGTAGTACAGTGCGTAGTACGTACCAGTTTCCTGGAGTTTTTGGAAGCTCAGTCTGTCCAATAACAACATTTCCTCATCGTACTTGTGGAAAACAGAATAGGATTCCTCCCAGGTGGTGGTGGCAGGGAAACTTCTTCTTGAAGATGATGAAGAAGAAGAGAGATGATGATGATGATGATCATGACCATCATCATCATCATCATCATCATCATCAGAGTAGTATCTAATAGTGGAGCTTCTCCAAGAGCTCATTGATAAAGTGCACTCACCCAAACCTCCTCCATCTTCTTCTTCCTTGTTACACTTTTCTTCTTTTTCTTGGTTCTTAGATGGAGCAATCTCATTTAAACTCTCCTTTCCCATCACATTTCTTCCCTTTTCTCTCTTTTCTTTCTTCACCTTCTCATAGCAGTCTTCTATTAATAATAATAATGATAATTAATTGTAGTAACAACAAAAACAACAACAACAATTAATAATAATAATAATAACATTTATAATAATTTGCTATTACTACTACTACTACAACAATAAAAATTAGGTGCTACAATCTACATACTCTCTGGGTCCTTGAAATATTTTTTTTGTTGCGAATTGTTTTCTACAATATTTGAATGAAATTATTTTCAACTCAATTTATATGAGAATGAGTGTAAAATTTTAAATAAAACTTACATATTTAAAAATGACATAAATTCATTTTTACATATGAAAATGAGTGTTAATAGTGAACAAAAAATTCATTTTAGAACCGAGATGTATTATTACTAGAAACTCATGAAGAATAAAATATAAATTAAAATTAATACGAAGTATATAACTTGATGTTTATTGTGGTCGAAATTTTCAAACTCTGAATAAAATATGCATTTAATATTAATAATAATCTGCCGTCAAACTATTAAATTGAAAATTGTGAAAAGTCAAAACTAATAAAATTAAAATGGGGGATGTATAGTAAAATGTGACAGCGTACCCATATATTTATCACTGTGAAAAGTATCCAAGATACTTTTGTTTGTGTTTCTATGAAGATGTAACGAGGTATATTGCTTCACAACATCTTCATCATCATCACTTTCAACACCCGCCGGACAGCTATAATAAGCAGTGGCCGCCTCACTGCCAGAGCTCTCTTCCGCATCCGAACCGGAAAACTGATCGTTGACAATGATGCCCTTGTTCCCCCTGTGGGCGGCTTCAGAGGCGAAAAGGGTACTTTGGTAATTCCACATATCTTCGTCTTCCTCGTCGGAATATTGTGCATAGGCAACTTGTTTGCTCCTATTATATATCTCAAACCAAACAAAACATAATTCAAAACAACAAACCTAAGTTTTTGGTTATAATTAAAGTTTCAAACGAAAAAAAACAGAAAAACTTATATACCTTCAATTTTTTTTTTTTAGATTTTACAATAATGCTCTAACATTATATAATTCTCTTAAAGTTATATTGCAGATCGAATATGACTTTCTGGGAACGCTGGTGACAATCTTAACATATTTTTGTAAAATCTCAAATTTTTGAAAGTGATATGAACTCTGATCATGCAAGAGAGTCAATTCCGAGTGAGTCAAATTTATAACTTACCCGAGGAAGAAGAATATGTTACCTCCGAGGAAACGTAAGAGCTTAGCAAGACAAATGGATGCAAAATACGAGGAAAGCAAGACAAGTAGAAAGGAACTTGAAGCATTATAGAACAATCTAAATATTGTTTCTTTTGAACATTGCATCTTTTTGTGTAGTGTTTTTTCTGTCTGGGATTTGTGTTGTCTTGTTACATATACATAGGAGTCTAATTAGATACTCCCTCCGTCCCAATTTAAATCGTCTGTTTTGACTTTTGGACATATTTAAGGAAAATTAAAAATAGAGTTGATTTTTCGAAATTGACTTTTAGGAGGGGTGATGATGGATGAGAAGATAAGGTGAAAAAATGTGACTTATTTTAGGGGTAGTTTAGGTATTTTATTTTTAAAAGTTTACGAAAACAACTAACAGGCAACTTATTTTGGGACGGAGAAAAAAGGTAAACATGCAATTTAAAATGGGACGGAGGGAGTATGTCATATGATAGATGCCTAGCTAGCTAGGTAGAGCTCTTTTGCAACAAAAAAAAGTGTCATTTGCATGGTATGAGAAAAATGACTTTAATTGGCTTCCTAGACAGAGTTTTGCTTGTTGGTCAAGGTGAGGTATCATGGAGTATTCCTTTTCCCTCAAATTCCCAATATGCCCTCACTCCTTCCACCACAAGAATCTCTGAATTACTCCATTTGTGTGCATTTAAACTAATTGGTCCATAATCTTTTTTTAAAGACTTTAATTCCCTACAAGTTTTTGTTGATGAATTTGTGAGATAAATGAGGTATGAAAAATGGCATAATAATTATTCTTTGCAATGTGTTAGAAGGAAAGGTCCTAACAATAGTGCATTTAATTGACCATTTGTGTGAGCTTTAATTTTGCTAGCTATGGGTTTCTTTCTTTTTCCAACAATACCAAATGCTTCTAGAAGACTCGAGGGGTTTTAGCCAACCATAAGAGTTATTCTATGGCAGAATCTTAAGTACGAAAAACAGTTTATCACAATTTATCGACCAATACTTTTATATGCGTCTTATTATTGATATATATGAATTGTTAAAGTAACTAAGGTTATGTTTGGTTCGTGGAATTTGTAAGAAAAGAAAAAGGAAATATTTTTTTCTCCTTGATCACAAAAATGGAAAGAAAATGGGTTTTCTCTTTTTAGCTTATTTTTGCTTCTCTTTTTTTTCCCCTTTCAATTTTCTTTTTTGTTTTCTTCTCCCCTTTAAAAAATTAATTTTCAAATCATTTTCTTTTTCAAATTCCTTGAACCAAACATAATGTTAACGACATTTATGTATTCATGTAAATGCCAAAGAGATCTCATTATGTGCATAATCATTATGCATTAAAAAACTGAATGTTAAAAAATGGACATTTGTACGACACAAGTTAATTGCACTAAGAATCGAACACGTGATATCTCATTGGGGAAAGTCATAGCAATGTCATTATACTACAAGGTTCTTGACATAAGTTATGTGGCCATTGATATTGTTTATATCGTACATGTTTACCTAAAAAATGTAGTCGTTGATATCTTCAGTTTTCATGTTTTAATTGTACTTTCTCTATCAAATAAATTTTATACTAAGTACTTTTTATGAATTCCTAAATAAATTCTACATTACACCATTTTTTATGTAAAAAATGTGTGACGACTCACAATATTTTTTAAAAACAAAATTCAATTCGTGAAAGTAAAGTGTAAACTCCTTCTGAGGTGGTAATTTTTTGTTGGAAAAATAATGAAAAAATGTAATCTCGATGGGTTTAAGGTATAATACTCTCCTGAAGAGGCCCATGAAAGTAGCCTAGATGTACAAAGACACAACTCACACAAGATGGGGAGGCCACAATATTCATATCTCTATATGCACTATGCTACACTCCTGGTATAAAAGACTACTACGGGTATTTGTTTACTTTTGATTTTTTTTGTTAAAATTGACAAATTTTAATTACAAATTAAATAAAAGTGATATTAGATATTGATAGAAAAACTTTTTATTAGATTTATTTTTAAAATACTACGTATTATTTTATCAAAGTAATATACGATATGCTCCGATACATTTTATTTAATTATATGTCACATCTTGAAATTATATGATTGACAAAAAAAATCAAAGTTGGACAAATATTCAGAGACCCAGTTAATATGCATCATCTTCTTCTTCTTCTAATCTCCTTGCCCTGAAATATTAATAACACATCCACTTGGCATGATACCGTTGGAATTAAGGACCTATTATTTCCATAAGTTTGATTTTCACGTAATGATTTGCGCGCTCAAATCATTTTTGCGGTTTTGATTTTTTAATTTATTGCAAATAGCAACAACTACACACGCACAAAAATTCTTACGGAGTATTTTAAATCCGCACCAATGTTTAAATAAATTAAATTATAGAGTAATCAGTTTCTATCAAACATCATAAGTGATAGAGTAATAAATTTCTATCAAACATCATAAATGGATAAAAAAAGAACAGAGAAATATTTTGTGGGACGAATGGAGTAGTATACTTATTATATTTAATATTATAGAGTACTCTGTATATCATTTATAAGAACTTATTATATGTTACGGAGTACAATATACTCCCTCCGTCCCTAAATAAACTTCCCCTTTCGTTTTTTCTTTGTCCCCAAATAAATTTTTCTTTTCCCGTGAAAACCCCTTTTATCTCTTACTTTTTCATACTCTACCGATCATATCATACCTTTTTACTAATAATCTACATCACATCTTACTTTTACACATCACATCAAGAGTATTTTTGGAAAGTCAACACAAAAATATCCCTCCCTTAAATCCTCAAAAAGTCAAAAAGGGAAGTTTATTTAGGGACGGAGGGAGTATATTTATTTAATTGCACAAAAAGTTTGTTTAATTTAGAGTAAATTTCATAAAAAGTCCCTAAATATAGTTCATTTTACAAATTTTGTCCCTACATATCGAATATCAATAATTTAGTCCCAATTATTATGTAGCAATTTTAATCATTATTCAAGTAAATATTTGCCAATACTGAATATTATAGACATTATTAAGTGTTATTTAAAGAATAAAGCAGTTTAAATGCTATTTAGTGAAATGACTTAAGTTTTAGTGTTATTTAGTGCAAATATTTTCATATATAGGTGAATGATATGGTAGAATCTCACTCGTACATTTCGAGATAGGATATTATGTGGTAGAAAAAATTGGTGAAAAACTATATGTATAAAAAAAATATTATCAACCATATTATTATTATTATTGTTTAAATTACTAAATCAAGAGTTAGGTTACTTAGGTACGTTACGAGTTGCATTTTCCTAAACTAACTAATGAACTCAAAGCATGCTGAGGTAGGTCAAGAAAGTCCAATTATGGTCCCATTATTGTTCATTACTTACCTCTTTTGTATTGTACCCAGTAATAATACATTCATTTTTAATTTATATGATCCATTATCAGATGTTATAAATAAATTATAAATAACAAAGATGATATTTTATTATTAGGTCACTTACAGTACCCATATATTTATAGTTAGTTAATATTTAGATACACCAAATGGAACATAACCGCACAACAAAACTACCTTAATCAAGGTTAATTAATTATCTCTTCACCTCCCTTCTAAAAAAAATCTCTTCACCAAATTTTTCAGCCTAAAGTCAAATAACATTATCTCTTATACTATTTTAATTAAATAAAATTTATGTTGAATATTAGTTTCTCTACATTTTAAAGTTGGGTAATTTACCTAAATAGGACTAAAACATAATGACTTTCTCAATATATGATCATATGTTTTTATTTCCCAATGTAGAACCATTGGTCATTATCTATTAGTCATTATTCAACTAAATGTTCAGCATCACTTGGACATTATTCTTCTCACTAGTCATTATTAAGTCCTATTTAGAGAATAAAAAAGTTTAAGTTCTACATTGAGAAATGACTTACTCTCTCCGTCCCTGAAAACCTTTGTCCTTTCTTTTTTCATCCGTTCCAAAAAACACTTCTCATTTTTATTAAAAATTCATTTTTACTCCTTACTTTTTCATACCCTACCTATCACATCATACCTTTTTACTAATAATCTATCCATCAAATCATACTTTTACCCATCACATCAAAAGATATTTTTGGAAATTCAATACCAAAATACATTCTCCTTAAATCCCTCTGATCTTCAAAATCAAAACTCTCATGTTTTCCGGGATGGAGGGAGTATGTTTTAGTCTTATTCAATGCAAATTTCACTTTAAAGTTAACTACTATCTCTGTTTCAATAATGTATTCATCCCGTTTGATTTTTTTGAAATCAAACAGAATGAATTTTGGACCTTAATTTCATTGTATGAATAATAATGCAAGTTGATGAGAGTACTCGTCAATAATCTGGACGAAAACACTTGAACGGAGGGAGTGTTATTTACTTAAGATATCGATTCGCATTGAGAATTCTTTGTATATATTTATACCGGTGGACTGAAAGTCTATCGATCGTATATATACGATTATTGGCTAGCTAGCTCTACGGATCATGCTACACTCACACCAAATTTAATTTGGAGATATTTCTAAAACATATAGCGTATCATATTCTGGTGTTAAAATAGATTATGCATACCGATTAATACTCCCTCTGTTCTCAAAAACTCTTCCTCTTTCGTTTTTTTACTTCCAACAAAACACTTCCTTTATCACATTATATTTTTCACTAATAACTAAACTATCACATCTTACTTTTAATTATCACATCAAGGGCAAAATTGGAAAGTCAACTAAAATTACACTTTTCTTATTTTGGCTCAAAGTCAAAATGAGAATGATTTTAATGAACGGATGGAGTAGTTTATATTCCGTACTCTGTAGCAATAAATTGTTAATCATGAACAAGATCAATTAAGAAAAATCGAAGTGACCTGAAACAGGGAGTACTATATGTATAAAAAAATGGACGGACGACTATCTTTGTCAATGTGGTAGCTGTAATTATCAGCTAAGAAGATATAATTATATATTAAACTATAAAGAAATAGTACCAACAATAATAATAATAATATATGACTCATAGAATACATGCATCATTTGGCTTCTGCTGCTACGTACCTTCTTCCTCAAGCTACACCTCTCTTCTGTCACATACTCCCTCCGTCCCCAATTTGATTACAAATTGCAGGTTCCGGAGTAAAATTTTCTACTTCTTGAAATCATTTTATTTACAAATTGGTATATCAGTAAGATATAAAATTTACATATTAAAAAAATACGTCAAAAGTTCTACAAAACAAGAGGTGACAACAATATTTTATTTTATCAAATACCTAATGAAATCGCGTAAACAAACAAAAGTTATCGAGAGGAGAGAAAAAAAATTGTAATCTATTTAGGGACGGAGGGAGTATCTTTTTTCCATTTTAACATTTCCATCACTACTTTACTTTTAGACTTTGACCATAAATTACTAATTATGAATACACTGAATAATTGTTATACAAATTTAATAGTAATAGATTTATTTTGAAATGTTTAAATTTTTTTTACTTTGAAACGTAATTTTGAAATATCAAATTTTTATTCCGTATAATATAAGCATAGTATGTTTATATACAAATAGAGAAATTAATGGAATTCATAGATTACCTTACTAATTAAGTTTCCATGAGATGGATAGATAGATGGTCATCACAAGCATAGAAAACAACGTGTACTATATATATATATATATCATTAATAAATAGAGAGCATATTAAAAACCATATAATTTCCTCAGCTCCCTTAGCTTAATTATTGGATATATTTACCAAGTAATAATTCCTCCATTATATTATTTGATCTTCTTCCAATCCTCAAGAAGACCAACGTAACTAACTTAGTGAAGGATACATACATACATATGTATATGTATACATGGAGATGATGAAGAGACATGATGAGGAGAATCAGGGCGGCGGCGGCGGCGGTGGCGGTGGTGGTCTTCCGCCGGGGTTTCGGTTCCACCCGACGGACGAGGAGCTGATAACATATTACCTGAGCAATAAGGTTTCTGATTTTGGTTTCTCTCCCATTGCCATTGCTGATGTTGATCTTAACAAGTGCGAGCCTTGGGACCTCCCAGGTAATGAATTATCAAAAGAAATATTTGCACGCACTAAAACTTAAGTCATTTCTCTAAATAGTACTTAATTTTTTTAATTCCCTAAATAGCACTTAATAATGTCCATAATGTCTAGTGATGACGAATATTTACTTGAATAATGACTAATGCATAATGACTAAAAGTGCTACATTGGGAAGAAAAACACATGTGTGCTATATATTTAGGGAAAGTCATTATGTTTTAGTGCTATGAGTAATTTACCTAAATAGGACTAAAACATAATGACTTTCCCAAAATAGGACCATATGTTTTTATTTCTGAATGTAGGACTTTGGTCATTATTATTTAGTCATTATTCAAGTAATGTCTATCATTGCTGAACATTATTCCTTCCACGAAGACATTATTAAGTCCTATTTAGGGAATAAAAAAGTTTAAGTCCTAGATTAGGAAAGTTATTATGTTTTAGTCCTATTTAGTGCAAATTTCACTAGTGCTATTTATGTAAATTCTTCTAATCAAAATCATTAAACTTTAATTAATTACTAATAGACTCGATCTATCTCGTCATAGTGTATTTGTTAAGTTTGATTTTTTTCGAATCAAAATGGACGAACTTTTGTCTAGTCTATGTGTGTACATATTTATGTGTATAAATAAATGGCAGCATGAGTATGTTAATGGCGTTGTTAATTACGGAGTATAGTTTAATTCTTTAAAAAAAAATGGAATAGGGAAAGCATCAATGGGAGAGAAGGAATGGTACTTCTTCAGCATGAGGGATCGGAAGTACCCGACGGGTTTAAGGACGAACCGGGCGACAGAAGCCGGGTATTGGAAGACGACGGGCAAGGACAAGGAGATCTTTGGCGGCGGGGGCATGGTGGTGGGGATGAAGAAGACACTGGTGTTTTATAGAGGAAGAGCTCCAAAGGGTGAGAAGACCAATTGGGTTATGCATGAATATAGACTTGAAACTAAGCATGCCTTCAAACCCCATAAGGTATGACTTCAATGGGTGTAAAATGCATCATTCTCATTTCTCGCACTGAGAAGCATTTTTATTTGAACCGCACCTTTTATAGTACCATTTGGTATGTGCATATATATATTGCTTTAATTGGTTAATAAAGTGTGAATGATATAATTTTTCATGTTTTCAGGAAGAGTGGGTGGTTTGTAGGGTATTCCGGAAGTCCAATGCAATGAAGAAACACCAAAGAGCTTCATCACCTTCACCACAAGCCCTAGAGTCTCCTTGTGTCACAAACACAACCATAGCCAACAATGAACTAGGAGACTTTGACATCCTAAATCCCAACACTATGGTGTCTTCCTCATCAAATGGTGGTGGGATCAACAAGATCAACACTTGCATGCAAAACTACTACAACAATGAGAACAGCACTACTCTCCCTTTGCTCCCATGGCCACCAACACTCCTTAGCTCAAACCTTTCATCAAACCTTTCATCACTCAATACATTGCTCCTTAGAGCATTACAACTTAGAGGCAATAGCTTATACCAACCACTAGTGGATCAAAACCAAGACACAACAAGCAAGAGGACTAGTGATTACGTGTACATGTCGCAAGGATTGGTGGACAATACCATCTCGAATTTCGGTGATGTTTCGATGGACACCACGAGTAATTTCGCGCCGATAGAAACCCCTACTTCTATGTTCTTAAATTCTGTCAATAATCAACAGCAACACCAACCATACAAGGATTTGTCCAACATGTGGTGATCGATCGAGGTTTCAACTCCTTTTATTCCATCTCTCTTGGATTTAAACACATGCACATTTATCTTGTAAAGATACTAGAAATTAGAGTTATATTGTTGTATTATATATACTAATACAATACAATGCATGTATATTTAGCTAAGAAGAGACTATATTATAGATGGCTTACACATAATAGTGACAATATATTACCATGTCTTTGTACAATTTGTAAAGAGCTTTGAAAGGGATAAAATTAGACTTGATTTGATATTGGACCCTTAACTCATCTGGAGTGCGAACTAATGTTCTCCAAAAGTTGTCCATGTATGCTCTCAATGCCTTTCAATCCGCATGTCTTGACTCAAGATTTCTTCTATGTAAAAGTCTTGGGGTTTCACAAGTATTTCAAACCTTTCGGGGTTTCACGAGTAATTTCAAACCTTTCGGGGTTTCACACCCAAACTTTTGTAAAATCTTTTTTTAAACAAAAATTCATTGAAACCAAAGTGTACGCTAAATGCCAAATTCACAACAAAAAGAAACTTAAATTCAAGCTTTTTCTGTGAATTTGACTTTTGGTGTACACCAAGCATTATGCCCATTTGAGAACAAGATGTTCTATTTACACTCCTCCCACGATGCATGTTCAAATCGCCACTTAGCACACAATGAAGTGAACCAACCATTGACTATTACTATCTAATACTGTATTTATTATCCATTATGAACTCAAAAAAGCTAATCATACAAATTACATCAGACAGTTTGATGAGCAAAATCTAGTCCTAGCTAGCCTAGCACTATGCAACACATATAGCAAAGATGGGGAAAACTAAGGACTTCAAGAATGGAGTACAATTGTACACATATCATAATCACAAACCAGACCAAACAAACCCGGCACATGATCACACTCAAGAGTAGGTCCGAGGAGGGAAAGATTATGCCACGAAATTGCAGCGAAAAGTTGAGAGGAAAGAGACGTTATGGTGTACACACAGTCCCACTTTTGCCCTCGTCTCATTTGCGCAGCATTTGTTGCAACTGAAGAACTTGAGTCCTTTGGTCCGGTGGCAACGAATTTATCTGTTCAGGTGTGAGACTCATAACTTGCTGAAGAAGGGCTTGTTCCATCTCAGGAGTTAACTGCACCATCATCAACAACAATTCAGTTAGTGTTTGGCAATATGACATAAAACATTTTGATTTGATGAGTATCATCTAACAAATATCTTTCATTTGTATCTCACGGCTGGAGGGAGTACTGGTATGTTGCATAAGCTTTGCATTTACTTCATTTCATTAATTTCCTCTTATCTTATTGAAATCCAATTTTTTTCATCATTATAAATTATACTCCCTCTCTCCCGAATTAATAGTTCTAATTTTCTTTTTGGGATATTCCAAAAAATAGACCTCTTTCCACTTTTGGAAAAAAATTGTGGCTCATATTATTTCTCATTTGCATCACTTTCAACCACACAATTTCACTTTTCATAAACTTCCTGCCGAACCAAATGTGAACTGAGTATTAATTAGGGACAGAGGGAGTACATTTTAAAGTCATTTTACATTTTACTTGTAAGTTCATCTGATTTTGCTCGTACTCCTGTATTTGAGTTGGGGTCTCTTGAAAACCTCTCTATTTTCCCCTAGACCCTACATTTTTGTAGGATTTTACTAGGTTTGTTGTTGTTCGTCTGATTTTGCCAAACATGCATCAAATGTTTATTGGGCAAGAAATTTGACAGTTTCTTAAACAAAAAGCACAAGAAATAGGGAATGAATTAATTACGGCTGGTTGTCGAGCAGGTTGATTTCCAGGCCCCATTTGACCAGGGCACGGTGGTGGCAGTCCGGGAAGCTGTGCTTTCTGGGTATTATTTTCTGGGTGGAGACCAGGGATCCATGGAGGGTTTCCTCCTCTGTCTAAAGGCATTGAGCTTCCAATGTGATTGAAATCTGTTCTTATGTGTGAACCTCCAGCCTTAAGAAGTACAAACATATGGCAAAGCATGTCAGTTTGAGAGCATTTTATGAAATTTAAAAGGGAGCGCAACAGATGAATCATCAAAAGCAGTAAGAGTTTCAAATGGTAGTGGGCATTTTGGTTATCTTTGACAGGAGCACAGGGCCTATCCAAATGGAAGTAAACAGAACCAAAACCAAATCATATGTAAATTCACTAATTTGGTTTTAATATTGGTAATGTTTTTCCAGTTCATATTAGACCAAACTAAAACTGATTAAAAAACCACGCAAAAAGCACTGAAACCGTAATTGAAAAAAACTATCAAACTCAAACCTTTTCAAAAACTAAACAAAACTAAGCTTGCTTTTATTTAGGCAATCACTTCCCAAATCTTATCTGAACCAAACAAGCTGACCAAAAAGACCAAACCAAACCCGAAATTCCGACCGACCCTTAGTGAAATCTGAAAAGCATTCCCACCCAAATTTGATGTTCATGTGGGAAATGTGCATATCACATTAAGCACACTGACAAAAGGACATAGTACAACGTATCATGCAAAGACTGAAGGAAGATGTAGATAGCTTTCACTGAAACTTCAAGAGCATCAATTTCTATAGCGCAAACAAAAGAGCATTTGGTATATATACCAAGCCCAACCTCCACGGTGCTCTAAGAACTAGGATTTATATATCAGAAACTCTTTAAACCAAACATTTCTTTACAACTCCATGGGCATTGGATTAGGAAAAATTAACCCCTATATTTTTCCGAAGTGGGGTCTTTTTAGGTTTTACATCATGCAATTAACAGCAAGGAGAGGCTGAGAGAGTCTGCAACAGGGAGGCACATATAGTTTTCTATGTTGTTTCTGATGACATACTGGCTAATGCGTTCTTCACCTATAAATCCATAAGTAATACTCTAGTGATAAACTACACTTGTTCATGACTAATGTATAAAAGAGAGCCTTCTATATGATTAAATAGTGTTTAAAAGATCTATGATTTGTCAGCAACCAAAGCAGAAAACAAAATACAATAGGACATCATGCTAACTTGCAAATGGAAATTTTATACTCAAAATGGCATCATTTTAGTTATTGACAAGTCACCTGATAGAGTGGCTGGGGAGGTGGCTGACTTTGAAGTGGTGGCTGTCCTTGCATAATAAATGGAGGGCCCATTGGACCTGGAGGCTTACCTCCCTAAATGATAAAAAAATGAACAAAAAACATTGTAATTTTGATATATCAAAGAAATCAATTCTCAGTAACCTGGAAAGAAAAGCTTACTTGCAGCTTACATGAAACATAGGTTGTGAATGGTGCATCTGAGGTGGCAGGCCAGGCTGCTGAAATCCCACACTGTGCCCCATTTGGGGGTGAATTTGCTGAGAAAAAGGTTGCACTGAGGGTCTCATCTGCGATGGTAGTGGCGGCTGCAACGGAGGCAGGTGTTGAACTCCACTGGTATGTATTGATTGGTCCAACTGCGTAGGAACAGATGTGGTGCGTGATTGAAGATGAGAAAGAAGGGGCGGCTTGTTTGGATGAGCTTGAACTGATTGTGGAACTGAGACTGGTGTTGATTTTGGCTGTTGTACTGAATGTATAGAATGAAGAGGCAAGGATGGGGGCTGAAGATTTGATGGAGGAGCACCCACTGCTGGCACTGATACTGAAGGCTGGGTTTGGTGTGGTTTTCTCATTTGGTCCTGCAAATTCACTTGTGCTGACGACACTGCTGGAACAGGCTGAGCACTTGACTGCTGAATGTGAGATGACAATGGCTGACTACTTTGTGTTGCAGGAGCTGGTGTGCCCATCTACCATAAAAGCAAGATCATTCAGGAGATGTAAATATTACTCCGTATATAAGTACTCCATATACATCAATGAGGGCACACGGGAAAAGATGATAAGTGATTACCGTTTGTGTTGGCCGAACCATCCCAAGCAATATTTGAGCCTTATTATTAATGAACAATTTTGATCACGTTAGTGAATAACCGATGAAGGATAGAATTTCAGCATGAATTATACTAAGAAACACATTTAACATCTTGCTAGCTTTATGTGTAGTTGTAATTTTCTGATATCAAATGAACATAAGAAGAATGATTTTGAGCTCTAGAATATATTTTTTCAGTCAAATGTATGATTCAGAATGAATGAAAACTTTCAAGCCCTCATCTGCATTGCTTTAAAAAATGTAATTAGCTCTTCAACTGCCATAGGATCAATAGCAACTCTTAAGAGCCTCCAAATTTAGTTTGCAATCTCAATCGTGCAAAGGCAGAGAAAGGACTTCACATAGGATGTGGAAAGGTCGATATTCACATAGCCACATAAATTGATAACATTCCCTGTTGGTTTTAGTTTAACAGAATGAAAGGATATGATAGTTTTCAATTTTGTTTATTCCCTTCAAACGGGCACTAAACCCCATTGTTCAAGTGTTAAACCTCAATAAAATCCCATTTCAGCCCCTTGCCCAACCCCATTCTCCCCCGCAGATCCCTGCTGGAATTCTTATATCATTCACCCCGTGTTTAACAACAGCAAACACAACAAAATCCCACAAAAGTAGAATCTGGGGAAGGTGTGTAGATACAAAAGTACAAACAAAGAAATCACTGAAGCAAGAACTAAGTACGAACATAGTCAAAAGAAGCATACAATCCGACTCTAAGAACATGACGTAAAGCACAAACAACAAAAAACACACAAGCACACGCTAGAAAATAAGGCGTATAGCACACAGACAGAAATTACAAACTAAGATCCACAGATCTACCCAACTACTCTAATCCTAGATCTTTGTGTGATCATATTTAAAATCATATCCTTGGTTAGATCCTCAACTCGTAAGTCTTGTCTAATCAACTGCTTCCAACTCTTTCTAGGTTTACCTTGACCCCTCTTCGCACCCTCTAACGTAAGCCTCCCACATCTCCTTACAGGGCCAAAGCACCCCTCTTCCCAAACGTGCCCAAACCAACTCAACCTAGCTTCTCGCAACTTATCCTCCACGGGTACCCCTTCTAAACCATGTTTAAGCGCGGAAAGATATATCTAAACCATCTTTGTCCCTGCCCCATCCCATTTTCCAACTTTCACTTCTTGAAAATTACACTCAATATGTGCCACTTATCACAATTGTACAGAGGCGTAGAGTAAAACCTGCCCAACTTCAACTACCTATCAGCCCCTATATCCGAAAAGTTTCTTCATTGAAAATGGAAAAGAGAAACAAGTCAAGTATGCATTGAGATTTTAATACCTGAAAGAGATCTCTGGCCAAAGTAGGGTTTTGAACAAGAATTTGCTTAGCTTGTTTCTCGTTCTGCTCCATAAGTTTCTGCAGTATAAAGCAAAAGAACTGAACATAATGAAAGGAAAAAAATTTAAAATTCGAGTCCAGTGCACTAATTGAAAAGATAAATGAGTGTATGCGCATACCTTCATCTGGCACATGATGTCGTAGAGCTGATTCTTGGACATTCCGGTGATGTTCGCCGAAACGCCTTCGCCGGCGACCTCTTTCCCAGCCATCGGTCTCTTCCGTTGCTTCGCGTGGATTGAAGGGTGGGACGAATTGGGGATAGGCTGCGTTTCCTTCGTCGCTCGCCTGATTCCTTTTTCTTCAAGGTTCTGAATTGGCAGAATTGCCACTAGACTAAAATATCACTGTGCCATATAGTTTTGGAAATTGACACAAATGCCTATTCTTTTCTTTATTTTTTCTTTATTTTTACTATTTTTCATTATTTTTTTGATATCTTTTTTAAAATTATTTTTTTAATGTTTTAAATGTCAATTTTGTTGTGTTTGAAATAAAAATCAATTAAATAGCAAGAATTAACGTACATTTCATTTATCTCAAATTAAACATTTTCTTTTTTGTCTAAAAAATGTCTTTATTGGTTCATTCTCATTATACAAAAATCAATGAAATAATCTCTTTTTTTACTAAAGCTCATTTCTCATTTTCTGTTCATTAATTTTATCTTGTTTCTTCTTATTTTAATCAAAATTATAATAAAAGAAATAAGAAAAGAAAAGAAAATAAAGAAAAAAGAAAAGTATATGAAAAAATACTTTTATAGAATAGGGAAATTTAAGTCATAAAAGAAATCTTTTACGCATTGGTCCAAAAAATGTTAATAATATATAATTAACTATATACGGAGTATAAAATAGGATGTTACTCAATATTCTTTTGGTTCCGACATATTAAAAAAGATAAAAAACTTTTTATACAAAAGACAAAAATATTTAATTCGACAATTGAGATATATGTTAAATTTTTTATTTTAAACACAAACATTTTTTATTTTTTAAAAATTATTTAGAAATGTTGGTTTGAAAAAATAAGTTTTCATTATTTCACACACAAATATTTTTCTTCTCTTTATGAAAAAAGAAAAGAAACAAAAAAAATAAAAAAAGGAGAAGGAACGTTGACACCCATTTTTAAAATCATAGGGAGCAACAGAGTTATTTATCTAATGTTTGAAGCATGTTTTTGTCCAGATGGGCATTAACATAGCAATATCAGAATCATAAATGGCAAAAACATAAATTTTGAAACCATGAGGGGTAACTGTACACATTTACCAAACCACAAGAGGTGTTGGCACAATAAACTATGTAATCTTGTTTTAAAATTATCTTTATGTTTGAGGTCTCCAATATAAGATCGTTAATATCTTTATTTATAAATAATTTATATTCTAAAAATATGATATTTTAAATTTTATTTCAAAATGAATCTATTAATATTAAATTTATACCATAATTTAATATATATTTTCTATACTTTAAAGTCAAATCTAGAAACCTTTGACAAAATAAAAAACAAGACAATTTAAAGACGGAAAAAAAAAGATTTGTTCAAAACGAATTGATCTAATTTTATTTAAATTAAGGACATTAGAAGTACCCGATTTTAAACTCGAACTTCAAATCTTTTCTCTCTGTCACGTCTGCGCCACGTAAATTTTAACCCGCTAAATCCACCGCATTGATAAGAAGCAGACAAGCTTGACAAGTTTATGCTTAAATTAAGTTCACATGACATTTTAAAACACTTTTAGGGGTAAATTTGTACATTTGTAACAAATAGTGTGGTATTAGCAAAAATAGGGATGAATTTTGCAACACCCTGGTCAAAAACATGTATTTGGCCGAATAGCATGAAAAAAAGTCATGGACAAGCATAATAAGAGTACTAAACAAGAATTAGCTAACAAACAGTGTTTCTTCACATTCCTCTAATTCTCCATGTACACTTTAGGTGTTTCCCTCTCTATCTATTTATCTTAGAGATATAGGTACAAGTTGAATAAATGATGCCACTACCAGAAATGTTAAGAGAGAAGGCAAGTACAAGCTAATCTATAAATATACTCTTTGGGCATTACTTACAATGAACACACAATCACATGAACGGATGCTGAACGGATTGTATGAGATTATTACCGTCGGCCCTCTTGCAGCTGTTAATTGGTTTAGTTGGCAACGCATGCTGAACGGATTGTATGAGATTCGGCACTGAGATTGCGATGGTATGTGCATGAACACTGAACTACTAATTGCACGACAATCTTTGCACTGCCCCTCAAAACCATTGAGATGTCAGTGTCACTTCAGTAGCAGTGAGAGGCCTTCAGAAACATCAGCATTAGTGTCCAAGTTTTTCTCAAAGAGTATCACAATTCACAAGTAATGCATAATAGTAATAATAACAGCAACAACAAACAATGAAATGAAGATGGAGGTGCCTAGTCCTCCCGTCGTCTCAAATGAAGCTTTTTTGTTGGAAGTCCGTTGTCTCAATTCTACCCCGAGACAAAAGTATGCTCTAAGAACTATCCGGTATCATGATGTGTCTAATTGTAGTTTTCTTGAGACTATGTTTCTTTTGCTTAATAAATTTTTGGGTTGGAGTCATGTGCATAATTTCAACATCCTAAGGGATGGCCGTATGGTTGTGTTTTGGAATCCTTTGTTGGTTGAATGTCAGGTGCTTACCATGGAGAAACAACTCGTATCCTGCTACTTTACTATTTCTCCTTTCGGTTTCCCTCTATTTGTTGGACTTTACTAAACTTTGTAATTTGTGTTTTTTTATGTGTTTAAACCCAGGGGTTTTCATAAACAACCTTTCTACCCCCTCTAGGTTGGGGTAACGTCTACATTCACATCCCCCAGATAACATGTATGGATGTGTGAAATTTTACTAGGTCAGTTGTTGTTAATTCCTCCTAACCTCACCATTGAACCAAACAAACATCCTTTGAACCTCTTCCATTTTCTCCCCATCCTTCTTTTGAACCAACCAAGGGCTAAAAGGAAAATTAAATGTCAGACTGAAAATACCTCATATTGTTGCAAAGCCACACGGCGCTAGTGCCTTTGCCTTAGTAGGTTCTTTGGCCGGATGCTAATGGGTCTTCTATAATTTTTCCCACGGTGGAAAATTAAAGAATGCCCTTTGGGTACTCGGTCTATTGCAACTAAAACTCCACCACTTTCATGTTCCAAAAGTCTAGCCTTTTCCTCTACAAAAGCAAGTTCCTTTTCTTTAGAAATTAACTTCACAAGTTCTCTGTGCTTCCAATGAAGATGCATGTTTTCAACAGCACCATCAACAACCCCACGAATGCCTAAAAAGGTGAGAAGATTAAGTAGAATATTGTTATTTTTAAGCTGGGAATAATAATAATAATAATAATAATAATAATAATAATAATAATAATAATAATAATAATAATAATAATAATAATAACGATGATGATGATAAGGATTATTTTTGGGGGGAGGGGGGCATCATGACCAAAAGGTTAAATAGCTTACCAAGTGGCAAGTGTGTCTTCATCTTCAATCCAACCTGATGATACATGACCCTTTCCTCTTCTGTGATTGTTTCTTGATCATCAGATGGACCAGCAGGTACCCGGGATGCTGCATTTTTCGATAGAAGCATTTCTTGATCATCTGCTTTAAGCCTCCCCGCTTGGGACTGTTCATGCAATGAACATACAGTATTTGTAACAAAAAGGATTTAACAGTAAATCAAGATATATCAATTTATATCCTGAATGTATAAATGAACAATAGTAAGGGTACCATCATATATCCTATCCAATTAAAACAAAGAAATGCACTTACAATGGCTACTTTATGTTCTAGCCGCTTGATTACTCTCTCAGTCTTTGTTCTACCTGCTTCTTTCGACATATTTGTTAGCTCTCTTCCCCGCTGCGCTTGAGCCTTATAAAATTGTGCCAAAGGACGAACTAGCACACGTCCATCATTACCAACAGTTGGTGGTGTTGCTGGCCATCTTCTCTGTTTCTCTTCCGTAACTTTAGCCTCAGGTGGTTCGGTTAAATTTTTGGTTAACTTATCCAGGGGCATTGATTTAGATGGTCCCTTTCGCACCATTTCATCAACATCCATTATCCGTTTTGTTATTTCCTGTCTTTCTTCTATAGCAGCTGCAACACTTGGGGGAACAAAATCCTTTCCCCTATACATGACTATGTAGAATTTGTTTCTCAACAGTAACACTCCCCCTTTTAATTTCTGTTATACAGAGAGGTTGCTATAAAACATAAAAAACTATATCTAAATACAAGCAATGCCAGACTTCTTCAACAACAAACAGACCTATAATAATCCCAACTCTGTTGGGGTCTAGGGCGCCAAGATGACAAACATGCATTAACCTTATCTAGTCATCTTCAATAGCCAATAGGCCACTACTCTCACTCTCATGTGGATCTCCTGATTGCAATTTTTATCAGTTCTAGTGTAACCGTCAACGTAACACAATAACACGTGTACAGTTATCAGTTATCCAAACTTCAAATTTCAAAAGCACTAGCAAGAAAGCATTCCAAGTTTCCAACCAAACAACATTTATGTTCAAAACAGAGTTTGGAAGACTAGTTGAGTACGGTATAATGATATATCAGTCATCAGTTAAGTTTTATTTTTTTAATAAAAAATTAAACGTTTTATAAAGAAAATAGAGAGAATTACATATCATTGGTTTCACACTTTCACTGGATATAACATATATGGCTATATGCAACTTCCCTTCGCTATAGTGACAAGCCCAGAGCTTCAAACCAAAGCGAATAAATCGTTACGGAGGAAGAAAATACAAATAAAGAAAAATAACTCATTAATATAGAGATTTTCAGCATAACCAACTAATTGATACATGTGAGCATCACACTTGAAATATTCCATAATTCTTGAAACAAACAAGAAACTAGGATACATTTCCTCCAACACTTGATTTGGTCAAAAGTGCAAATGATATCAAGGCATTTCATTCTAAACAAATAAGCCAAGGGCCATAATTGTGCATTCCATACACATCCAAGGAAGAAATTCACAGGACATCAAACACAATGCTGAAATATGAAGTATTTAACTTCTAAAGCATAACTAAAAAGTTGTTTGAAATGCCAAATGCAAAATAATTATATGTCCATTGGTTTTATAAATAGTAGAAGACTACAACATTTCATCTCAAATTAATTCATATTCATCAGAAAACATCATAACACATAATAAAACAGGAAAAGAGAAAAGAATATAGTGCTTAACAATAAAATCCAACACACCTTCAACTCCTCAGACATTAGTTCGTTATTTGTATTCTGGATCCCACGCTTCACAGCAATTTTCACAATTAAACTTTTCTCCCAGAGCTTGATTATAGCAGCTGCCAAACCCTGATGATGTCTATTCCTCCCTAAATTCTCGTGAAGATGTTACAACATAGCCATTGCAATGCCAACAACAAAAAGTACATAAAAGCAAAAAATTACCAAGAGCAAAGTGGCAAGGAAGTTTTTTTGCAAGTTTCCGTAAATTAGTCATTTCTGCATTGGTTAGGCTATGTCTCATTCTAGTAGGAAGAAGCCGGAGAGGACTTTTGTAGCCAGGAACTATCTGAGGAAGTAAATCAGCATCAATAGGAAGTACTCCTGTCCCCCACCAATCTTCATAGCGTGGTCCTATACTGCCTAGCAACCTGTCAAACTCAGCTTCTTTTGCAGTCATGGTCTTACATTGGATAGAGTTGAGTGGGATACTTTTCTCCTCAGCTGGATTAAAGCTCTCGCTTTCATTTTTCAATAGGCTATTGACTTCTATACTATTTGGTTCTGCTCTTGAAGAAGGTCCCTGATAGTTATTTCCACGGTACACCAACATAATACTTCCAGACCTCCATATTACAAGTCCATTTGTTCGACGCTGGCGACGAAAAAAGGGGTTCATTGATGACCAAACTCATATAATAATAAGGAGAAAATGAAGAATGAACATCTCGAGTGGATTGAGGCAATAAATTATATTGATACACACATACAACTCAATTGCCAAATTTAATGTGTATTCCAAACTTTTTAATTACATTTTCACATGATTTTTTCTGGTTGACCATAAAAAGTATCTAAGGAGCCCGGTTTGACCTTTGAAGTTACATGAAATTAATCATGTAGATTTACATTTATTTCAGCTGGCATAATTTCGGAGAGAAACATCCAGTTAGCTTGAGACACATTCCTAAGACATAGCAGCTTATTTGAAAAGAACTTTCTTTTTGCATTTTCAACAGTAATCGTAGACCACGAGTTGGCTTGTTTTATCTAGTTGTGTTTTTTCATGGCATCAGGTCAGTATACCAATCATTTACAAACAACATCAGAACCCATTTGAATCAAATGCCACAACTTTCTGGTCTAGTATTACCCAGGGGCTAATGTTGAACTTCAATAAATATACCCATTCCAAGAAACTCATATAAAACCTTATGCAAGCAGTAAAAAGCCAATTCATAAGGCCATATAAACAAAACACACCATAGAGAACATTTCAAATAGACCAAAGCAATAAACACATACTCGAAATCCGAGTCAAAGTGCACCAACCTCAACAATTTTGTGTGCAGTTTTCTTATCATGAGCTAAAGCCTCGTGAAATTTCAACCTCACGAGTTCATTTTTCCGCCATTTTTCATGAATCTTCTCCAACACTGCCCCAGTCACGCCAGCCTTAGGTACAGTGATCTTCTCTTTGAGAGTCATCCCATGTCTTATTAGCCTTCTAAGTTCCTCTTTCCCAATGGTTAGCTCAGCCAACGTGGATTCCTTTGACGTCCTCTTCCTCGTCCTCCTCCTCACCCCATCAACCTTCTCCCTCTCATCCATCACCTCCAATGGCAGAAATCCTCCATTCACATCCTCATACTCCAGCATTGAATCAGGACTAATCCAATCCCTCTTTAACAAATCCCCCAACCTATCTTCCCCATTCCCCTCACCTCCTTCATCTTCTTCATCATCCGATCCCAAGCCCAAATTTCTCAGCCGAAGCACAATCCTTTCAATGGAAGTGCCCCCTGCTCTCGACCGCTCGTCCGGAACTCTGATTCCCGAGCCCGGAGGAACCGGATTTCCGGTTGACGGCAATGGCTCTGCAGTATGCGGCCATTTATTGAGCCACGAAGAAGAGTGGGATAGCTGCTTGAACGGGAGCAGCGGAGGGTTGGATTCGCCGTGGCTACGGGAGGGTCTTTTGGTCCTTCTAGTGGCGGCGGTGGAGGAGTGGCGGACGGAAGAGAGAGGTTTAAGGAGGAGATTGCGCGGCGTTCGGCGGGAGAGAGCAGAGAAGATGAATGGTGGCATTTCTGTAAATTAGGCAGTAGAAAGGGATGCATATATCTTCGTGGATTGACATGTGTTTATTCCCAAAATTCAACTGCATTTACATTACCAAACATGGTCATATACATTACCAAAAAGTATAGTAACATGCACATGTACAATGTCACATTATAACCATATTATCACAGTGCGAAGTCTTATTTCGAGAAAAAAACATGAAAATTCTATTTTGGTACTTTTTTCTATATTCTAATCTTATTTATGGTGATTTCTATTCATTAATTATATTTGTCGTATACTACTATACATCTTTTTCTCATCATACTCAAGAATTATTCCTATAACAACAAGGATCAATTCGTTATTCTCGAAGGGTTGACAACGTGGTGGGACTTGAGATGGTCCTTGACGTAACCCGAGCGTAGGAGCAGATTGGTGCAGAGCTCGTCAAATGGCCGACCACGCCAAGTTCTCTCTGGTGTGGTGATGGCCCAACGCGCCCATGTTGTGCTTATGGCCGAGTCCGACCCTTAGCGTGCTCATGATGGCCGAGCTCGAATCCTTCTTTCTTATGGTCTGATGCTAATGAGCTCAACTGCAGAGCCCTGAGTGATGAGGCCGAGCTTGAGTTGGACGAGACCGAGCTTGAGTGGGACGAGACTGAGCTTGAGTGAGACAAGGCCGAGCATGGAGTCTTGCCTTCACTTCCTCACTTATGCGTCTCACATGCTCCTTCCAAGGCCATGTAATATAGGCCCTGGTTTTAAGCTCAATGTCCCCATCAATACGTTTTAAATATATAAATTTTATACATTACTTATAATAAGATGTAAACCCTTTTAAATATTGAAGGAAATTGGTCAATAGTTTTTTTTGTGTGGATTTTGATCTACTTTAAGTTGTTTATTGACACAACATTAGATGAATACATGTAAACAACATTTCAACACGAATTAACAGTAAATTACTCTCAACAATTCAATGGCATGTAACTATCACATTATATTGAACCATTTGAACTTGTGAAAATGGGTACTCCACAATTATTGTTATATCATACTACTATAAGAACATCAGTCTCAAATTGTCAAAACTTCATGGCTAAAAGTCCCAATACCAAGGGTGCATGGGCATGCCTAAAAACCCTAATAACTTAAGTTAGAGGGGCTGCATAAATGTATAATAAATTCAAGTAAAAAAAGTTTCTCAAGAACAAATGTACAAATTAATTTACATTTAAAATATGTATGTACAATTATTACACATAAAATACTCATTATATTGTTGTCCCTACATAGATCCCATTGTAGTTACATGACTATTATGTACCAACAAAAAAAAACCATTTATAAACATTCACATTCCAAGTACCGATAAAGTCTGGGTACACATATCCTCCCCTGATCCTACTGGACTTGGTTATTATTATTACTACGTATTATATATAAACGTAACACTTTCTCCTTACGATATATTCACAATGATATTACAATGGGACAAAAGAATTAACCATTTCTGGGATGGTCAAGGAAAAGTAGAGATCCTACCAAAGCCATTGGGTGAGGAAGAATTCATGACTTCCTGGCTGAGTTCATCCACCTTGTTTAGTAAGAGGGACTGCTCGGTCTCGAGTTGGACCATGAAGTCTTCTTGGGTGATGTGGAGGCTTTCTAGCTCGCGCAATGTCGTCGACACTCCTTCCATGTCATTGTCCCCCACCAACGACTCCAGCTTCATCATCATCTGCTTCATCTGCACTCAAATTTATCGCGTTTCAAAAGCATAGATATGGTTTATTGTTTATCATCATCACGGTTCTTTTGACACTCACCTTGTTGATGTTATAATATGACACTGGAATTCTACGGTGTAAAATTGTCAATTCATCATAAATGGCGTGGATTTAGCCAAAATGGGGGTGAATTTAGCAACACATAAGGGTAATTTACATAAATAGGACTAAAACATAATGACTTTCTCAATATATGACCATATGTTTTTATTTCTCAATGTAGGACCATTGATCATTATCTATTAGTCATTATTCAACTAAATGTCCAGCATCACTTGGACATTATTCTTCTCACTAGTCAATTATTAAGTCCTATTTAGGGAATAAAAAAGTTTAAGTCCTACATTGGGAAATGACTTATGTTTTAGTCCTATTCAGTGCAAATTTCACTTGTTATAATACTCATTTCATCTCAAAAAACAAAGTTTCACATTTCCTATTTTATTTTTCCCAAAATAAGGTTTTTCGCTTGCCTTTTAAAGAAATAATATGGTTTAAATCATTTCTCTCTTCTGTGCACAACTCTGAACCACTCAATTTCACCTTTCTTAACAAATGTGTCCGGTCAAATATGTAATCTTAATTTAGGACGGAGGAGTACGAGACTCAACATAACAAGATGGCAAAAAATGAAAACAAAAAAATTACCTGGTTAGAAATATCACGGCGTGCTTTAGCTACGGAAGATGTAGAGTCTACACCTGATTTCTTTTCTGTGTCTGGAACTTTTCGTGTGATTTGAATATGGATCTCTCCCTTTTTCACACCTTGGAGGGGAATCCACCTCTCAAACATTTGATTTCGAGGCATCCTTTGATATTCAATATCACAATCACCTAAACTTGATTCTGGGAATATAAGGTTTCGATCTTTCACTTGCAACGTTAGCCGACTACCATCCTCAGGAAATTCAAAAGTTTGGTGCCATTGTGGTGTTAGAGTTTTATAAATAACCTGTTCAAGAAAGTAAGGCATACAATATGATATATGATAATCTAATCCGTAAAGAGCAATGCTCTTTTTAACGTTTTTACTCTATATTAAGCTTTGTGAAAGTCAAACTGGGAAATTGAGATTGGGACAGAGTAAATTTTTTTTGTTATTGTGGTCTGTGGAAATAACCTAATATGATGACGTTTTAGAATTTTCACATCATTGTTCCTTCGTATGAATTTTGAAAAAAACAAAGGGCACACAACGTAAAACTTTGCACTAATTTTTTCATTAGTCTATAGCATTATTTTTGCATTAAAAATGACAATGATGAAGGCTCTTATACTAACATACATGCTGGTAGATCATGAAGTCATCATGGTCATGTTGTTAGGTTTTGCATTATAAACTAGCCATTGGGCTTCTAAAGAAAGCTTCTCAAATAAGTTTTGTTTGGTTGAGACAAATTATTCTATAAGCTTGAGCTTATCGAATAAAATTCATAGAGTAGCTTCTTAAACATGGTAATGAGCTTAGCAAATTTAGTTCCACTTTCAGCCTCATTTCTATTTAATAAGTGTTTTAAACATATTTTTAATGACATTATACATTCGCAAGCCACCTTATCAGCTAAAATTTAACAAAAACACAAACAGTTAACCTTTGTGATCAACGGCATTTTACAAAGTAAAATTTGTAACTTTGTGATTGATGGCATTGTTTTCTAACCTTTGTTGTTCTCTTCATATTTCCATATTGTACTCTAACATATGGATCACTTGTACCTCTGAGATCGGCGACAATAAGGTCTTTTGCCTCAATGAGAGTAAGTTCAATCCATCCATCACGATGTGAGCCCTAACAAAAACACAGGAGAGGAAAAATAAGAATTAAAAAAAGAGTTGCAGAGTCTCCAATGTAACACTTTGACCAGTAATATCTCTGTTTAAATATAGATATACATTATAATATATGATATTTCAAAACTATGTTTCAAAACAAATCTATTGCTATTAAATTTATATCACAACTCAATATAACTTTTCTACATATTGTGGTCAAAGTTCAAAAATGTTGACCAAGAAAGAAGAACATTGTGGTATGAGCATTGTTCACAAGAATGAGTGACAAACTCATTTGAAGGGCTTATATGACATTTTAAACCAATTTCCCAAAAATGAGTTTTTTTTGGGGAATGGTACAACTATATTTGAATGGAAGGAGTATTTTTCATGTAGATGGCTTAACATGGCTCACAAAACAGTGGCTCGTTGAAACAGACGAACCTTCAAGAGACCATGTGTCGTTTGAACTTATGGTGTGATATCAAATAAAGTGCCCGTTTGGCAATGGCTTCAGCGTCAAGCTTTAACACTATGAAAAGACTATCTAATGGTCGTGTTTCGCTGTAGCATTTTCAAAGTTAATCTGCACCATTAAAAATTGTCCAGAATGCTAATGCTAATTAAATATGTTGTTCCGAACAAGGCCTAACACTTCCAGTTTCGCCCAAAAAAATTCAACATTAGAGGAGGAAAGGAGTACCCCAAGACCATGTGAGGTTGTATGTATTTTTATATTCCTTAAGGGCATATGATGACTTAGGCTCTTAGACAACCATAATAGAACATACCTTAGATCCTTCGTGATCATCAGCTCGAATTGCTTCCAATCGAAGGCGCAACTCCCCAGAGTTAACCTTTTCAAGGGGAACCCATACATCCTTTGGAGACCCTTCGACAAGCCCTTCTAGGTTTACTCGTGCGCTGCCAATATTCTCATCACTAAACCTTTCTTCAATAAAACACCTTATTCTCAGATATTCACCGCCACTGATTTCATCAAACTCAAACTTCTGGTCCCATCCTGGATCTGTTGTGTGTTGAACAGTTCCGGTTTTTTTAAGAGCCTAAAGAAAGGTTTTTGCAATACCAAACATGCAATCAACTTATGTTTCTGAAGCATATTTATCTATAAACAAACAGATCCTTAAACTGAAACAAAGTAGAGGGTTAATACCTTCCCATACTGCAGTTTCACATAGGTTCCAGAGCCGGACTTTCCGCGCCGGTCTTTTGAGGGAAGGTTTTTACCTTCGATCACAGTAACGTAAATTTTTCTTCCAGTGTTTGAAGGGAAGTTAGATGAGCCACTGAGTGTCTGTTGAGATCCGACGTGAGAAATTCTAGAGGTGTGAGAGCCATCAGAAAATTGCCATTCTTTCAATACTAGTTTTACTCTTAACTGCAACAATAAATTGCACAAAATAAGTTGCAGTATTTTCTACGAACTAAAAATGTATCTCCTCATTACATGAGCACTAAATGCATTACCAAACAAAGAAAATGGATGTGTAACTCTTCCGAATAAGAAAAGGTGCTTAAGGTGCCGTTTCTTTCAAAAAAAATTAACTTGTAAAAAAATGTTTTACAAGAAAAACAAATCACTCAAAATTATATCATCCATACCTCCCCCGAGTGAACCCCTTCAAACGGAACTGCCATTTCAACTTCTTTGCCACAAAACTCAGCATGCCTAGTGATTGCAGACTCACCATCGGTCGCCCAAAATATCGTTGAATCATCCGAGACATATCTCATCTGTTTCATATATCAGTAAAATTCCTGTTAAATGATACGTAAGGACAATCTTGTAGATTTAGACTCTATTTAGAGGTACACATTGCCTTATTTAGCTGAATAAATAACTTTTGACTTAGTTATTTAGCTGAAGCAGGGTGATGGGAAATGTGACCAAAAGCTCCTTTTTTTCAGAAAATTATGCAGAGATTCACTCATTTCATTTCAGTCTAACAACCCTTTCGAAATAGGGTGCCTGTTTGGAAACATCTTCAAAGTTTAGCTTTAGCGTTTTTAAAGTTAATCCACACCATTAAAAATTAATCCAAAACACTAATGCTAACGTTAATTGAAAACGATGTTCCCAAAAGAGGCCAGAGTCTTAGTTTGCTTATGGAAGAAGACTGTAGGATTATAGAGCAACAATAAACAAACAAACAAACAACAAACAAACAAACAAACCAAAAAACAAACAACATAGTATAATCCCAACTCTGTTGGAACCTTGGGAGCCAAGATGAATGCAGTCTTACCCCCGTAATAAACAGAGAGGCTGCTACTGTTATGCATCAAAGTTCATAATGATAACTCAAAGAAGATGATATAAGTTAGCTTTACCTTAACTTCGCAGCTTGTTAGATAATCAAAATTGACACTGTCAGAATTGCACTCATAAAGATTGAACTTGAGGATTCCCGTGTTATCATGTAGGGTCATGTTGAATTTCGAGTCCCATTTTGGACACGAACCTGTTCTAACTTCTGTTTTTCTACTCAATTCCTCAAGTTCAACCTCCACAAATGTCTGAATTTTTTTAGATTCAAGAAGATTGTCATTGGTAGCCCCTGAGCTTGTTTTCTCCTTCGATATTCCGCTTGCAGATATAACAGTAACACATAGTACACCTCCAACAACATCTTTCTCTAAGTTCACTGCAGGTAAAGCTAAACAATTGCGTCGAGGCTCAACCATCCTTTTTACCAACAAATCAGTTGCAACCTTAACCTGTAACACCAAAAGATGTGTGGATTTTAAGTCATACCAGTTACCCCTACTCGGAAGTAGAGTGGCTGTTTCCAAGAGACCCTCGACTCAAACACAAACACACAAAGTAAACACAGTAGCACGAACAAAGCAAGAGCACATAGACATGAAAGCACACAAAGAATCATATAATAAATGCCCATAACTTGCTGGGTCAACCCAAATCTAATGGCACTGAGTCATGAACATGCATTTTTCAACACAAACCCGAACTTACCAAAATTCAAAGGAATCAAACCCGAATCTGACCTGACCAACCTATTTGCCAGCTCTAGTTAGGTCTAAATTTATTATCTTTATCTCATACGAGTAGACTAAACATAGATGACCTATTTATTGAATTGAAATCGCTTTTTCAATAGTAAAACAGTAAAGGATCAAATGATCATGCTATCGGAAATGATTTTCAACTTATATAATATTCAGCAACAAGTTCTTTAAAAATACATTCTTTATAGTTGTACAAGAAAAAATTACGAAAAGAGAAAACTCAAAACAATAATATACTGATTTACCAGCCAAGCAGAAACCCATGGCAGTTCAGTTGCCGGAAAAGACTGGCTACTGCCACTTCCAAATGCAACGCCAATCCTAACTTCTGGAGCTGAGATGAAAGAGTATAAGATTGCCCTTCCATCAAGAACTGGAATCAATTGAAGCTGTGAAACATATATTGTCAAACTGTTATCTTGTGGAAGGATAAAATTTAGCCGAAATGGCTGGATTTGCTGAGCTTCTTGTTGAAATGATTTTAAACATGTACTCCTGTCCCAAAAAAGAGTCTTGTTTGAAAATCTTTTGTCCCAAAAAGAGTACTATTTGAAGGGAAAAAACTGATTTTCATCGCATTTAATGTTTTTTAATAAAAAAGTGACTCAAACAAGTTGAGTATGTTAAGTTAGTTAAACCGAGAATTAAATTTAAAAAGATAGATATATTTGATGGTTTCCATTGGTTGTACATACTAAAATTAAAAAGCTGTACCTTTGTGAAACATGACTCTTTCTATGGGACAGATGGAGTAATTATTTATCGTTTCTTGTGATTTGTGAACATAACCAACAATTGGTACCGCAATCACACTCCTCCATGCAATGTTTTATGTCTCTCCTAACATGTGCTACAGGAGGAAAAATAAATGTAACTCACATCGCCCTTGATGTGGAGGCTGTTAACCACTATCTTGGCAGTTCCCTTCAACGGCTTTTCTAACTTAGCCAGCAATAGTACACTTATATCATCAGTGTCCCAGTCAAAGCCCATATGTAGGATTTTCTGTTCAAAGGAAGGACGTTTCAATCTACAAATATTTTCACTAACTTTTGAAATGTAAAGATAAAAATATGAGTTAGAACCTTTTCACATGCATCATGGAAATCATGATACGGAACTGGTCGATTTGAGTGTCATAATATGACACTAGGCAATTCGGGGGGAAGGGGCAGGCTGAGGGTTTGTGGGGGGTTAGGGGTAGGAACCACTCCATGGTTGAACAAAGCACCATAGGACCCTCCATGTATGTGTGTGTGTGTGTGTTTGTATTTATATTTATATGTATATTTATATTTATATTTATATTTATCCATATATATATACATGTGTGTGTGTGTGGCTGTGTGCGCGCGCTGTGCGCGTGTGTTCAAGTAATCATTGTTCTAGAAATAGCAAGAGAATTAAATACTCAATTTCCATCATTTTAGAAGGGATTGGGGGAGGGAAATATTCCTCTCCCCTCAAAATCTTGATCTTGAGGGTGTGTTTGGTCGGAGGGTGTGTTTGGTTTAAAACTGATAGAATTTAGGATGGAGTATGGATTACTGGATTGGGTAATAAGACACTTGAGTTGAACCGTGTTAAAAGATTGAATCCAATCGATTAGTTAGTTCAACTCTAGAGCTTATATACCGATTATTTTACTCATAGATTTCCGATGTGGGATGTACTCTAACACTCCCCCTCAAGTGGACAACCGGGCCATTTTGAATCTAACCGGTTGACCACTTGCAAATGAACTCCCATTACCTTGAATTTTTTTTTTTTGAGCGCCAACACCTAAAGGACCACGAGCCGCTGGGTATGAACTTCCAGACGAGCAATCGTGTTAAACAGGCCACAGGCCGTTAGGTACAACATCCATACGGACAACTGGGCTAAAGACTAACGGACCGCTAGGAATGAACGTCTAGACGGACACCTTGACAAACGAGGTGGGCTAAAACTGGCTCTGATACCATGATAGAATTTAGGATGGAGTATGGATTACTGGATTGGGTAATAAGACACTTGAGTTGAACCGTGTTAAAAGATTGAATCCAATCGATTAGTTAGTTCAACTCTAGAGCTTATATACCGATTATTTTACTCATAGATTTCCGATGTGGGATGTACTCTAACAAAAACCATTGCAGGGTGGGGAAACTAAAATCATCCCTTCCCCCCAACCCCCTCTTACAACGAAACACACTCTTATAATCTGGATAATCCTTTATCTCCATTCCCCTCCAATAAACCAAATAATGTAACATTGAAACTCTATTCTTCCCCATTTCCCACCCTAAATGTTTACGATGGATATCCTAGTTAAGTTATACTCCCTCCATTCGGATTTAGTTGTCCACTTTCTCAAAACTCTCATTTTGAGAAATGACTTTAAAATACGGAGTATCAAATAAATCTTTCAAATGAGTTTGTCACTCATTCAAAACAACAATTCTCATACCCTATCTCTAGGATATTTTAGACAATTCAACATAATTTCTTTATTAAATATGGAAAGTGGATAACTAATTCTGGATAAACAAAAACAAGTGGACAACTAAAGTTGTATAGTACTCCGTAGTATTTTTACTTTAACTCTATGAACGATAATTACCTTCTTAATGAGTACAAAACCCTAAATCAAAATTTATAATAGAACGGTAGAAGTAGTATCCAAGGAAGCAACAAAAAGAAAAGCAAACCTGATCACCTGATGTTGACCACCTAGTTCCATGAATCCCAAGGAGTGGAGGACGAGAGCCTAGGGAAAATTCTTGTAATTCAATTTTTTCCTATATACATGGGAAAAAAAGGCATTAATTCCTTGGTTCTAGCAATTCTTTGTAATCGCCCCTTTAACGCGATGGGGGTGCAAATGGAACTTACAATGATCCTTGGCTTCCGGTGTTTCAAGCGTCTCTGCATTTAAAGAAAATATAAAGCATTTTTAGTTTGTGCTTCTGAATATCATAATTCAGCATAATAAACAGATAAACTAAATAAGTAGTAGCGTTGGACTTAGTTGTTGGTCTGCAATGGATGTTAACAAATGTTCTTTTTTTTAGAAAATTCAGTAAATTAAACCAAATAATTCTTATCAAATGGGACCCTTAAATCTTACTCCCACCCTAAAAGTGGTTAACATTTGCTTTTTCATGGAGTTTAAGAAAAACTGAAATTGTATGGTGGAATTATATATAGAGGAGAGAGAAATCATGTGAATCATTCATTTCTTTCCCTAAATGGAATGGGAACTTCTTTTCGGGACAGCTGAAATATGAGAGCAAGAAGTTCTTTTAGGGGCAAAGGAGTGCTTTTTTTTCAAAAAAGAAGTATAGGCTGAACAAATTAAAAATTCACCTCAACCATGTGAGCAAACCTCAAAGAAAGCCTTTTTCCAATGTAATTCTGCCAAATCTCCAATAGTAGTTTGTTTAACCACTCACATTGCTCCAAAGGTGTGGTTTGCTGTATGGAAAAAGAAGATTACCGGATCATGTTTGTTCCGAAGTATATATAGTACAGATCAAATCCAAGAAAGATTGAGCTGAAATTTACCGAATTATGTAGCAATGTCTGCATCCATTTCTTATTCAAGTCTTCTTCAAGAATGTGCCTTTTAAAACTTGCATACTGTAAATACAAACAACAACAACAACAACAAATTCAGTACAAGTCTTTTTACTGGATTTGGATGAAACATGTGACCGTGCCCCTACTCAGAAGTAGAGAGGCTTTTTCCAAGAGCATAATGTAAATACATGATGTGCAAATGTCATCGAACACCAATGCTAGGCTTAATCCAAAATCATAACTTTATTACGATTGTGGGTTCCGCCTTAAAGTTCCACCTTCAAGCTTACCGGGATCAAATTGATCATTTGGCCTTGATGCGCGATTTGATATTATTTCAAAACTTTTGGTTCTATCCTAAGAGTTCAATCTGATAGGAACATAGGATAAGTGGCCCAAAGACTTGATTTGTTGTTCTAAATTTGTTCAATATTATATGAATTAACAAATTCTACTCACATTAGCTAGCTAAAGAGTGACAATTTCGGCCCTAACTTGTACCAATCCAAATACTCACGGATCCTACGTGGTAAGGATGACGGGTGTAAACTTCCCTTTACGAATGGCAACGGGTCGGTTTTGGATGGAGTGGAGCTTCACCTGATCCATGTATATCACCCTCATCAATCTGATCCGACCGTACGTGAAACGAGTGCAAATGGATGAAAACAACAAAACTACTATAGGATCTATGAACAATTCAAGCAATCTCTAAATCCCATATTTGAGAAGAAAATCAGAAACCATAATTGTTAAACCATGTTAAATGAAGTTGTTGAAGTTAATCAATATCATATAAAAAAGAGAGAAAAGTTTAATACGGAGTACAAAAAAATTAGATACCTGAAAAGAAGCCCATAGAGCAATAGCAAGAGGAACCCAATTGGTAAGAGCGAAAAACCACTTCTCAATTCCCCAAACCAAAAAGAAAGATAAAATCGAGAGTGGAAGTAAGGGCTTCTCTGCCAACAAGTTAGTCAAGAACTCCATAGCTTCACTTACACTGTAAGTCCTCCTACTCTTCCTCATTTCCAAATTAGCCCCTCCAATTTCAACTGATGGAATGATAGAAGTCCACTGAACCAATTTTTCTCAAATAAACACTAATATATTATTTCTTCTCGCGTTCCCAGAAATCAAGAACTGCAAAGACTCCAACTTTTTGCAGAGTTTCGACCATTGCGATCAGACATAAATAACCCCAAGCTCAAATGGAGGTCTTGAGGACTCTTGACAGGGAGAGAGGAGAGAGGATGAGAAAAGTCAAAGTCAGAACCAACAAAAAAAATCTACACTAAAAAACAAATGTACGGAGAGAGCCTCTCAAACAAAATTCCAATGTTAGAAATGTTGTTACTGAGTAATTCTTAGATTGTACCCTAGGTCATTCTTGAATTGTACCTTAGGTACTCCCTCCGTCCGAAAATATTCTTCTCATTTTTCTTTTTGGTTCGTCCGGAAATATTCTTCTCATTTTCTTTTTTTGTATACTTTTTAAGACTAAATACCAATAATACCCTTCTATTTTATCACAAATCTACTTTTTTAGTACTTTTAAATAATAAAAGGAGATTTGAAAATTTATTGTATGTTCATTTTTGAAAATTTTGCATTTTTTTTACTATTCCTTAATAAGCGTGCCAAGTCAACACGGGAAGAACATTTTTGGACGGAGGGAGTAATTCTTAATGTGATTATAATTTTTGTTCCGAGACATATTCCTTTCATTTGAAATAAAAAGAGTAAGTAATTTTTTAGTGTGATTAACTCTATTATAAGATCGGTGAGGTTCTAGTGACACCGGAGTACGGTGCCACTCCGGTGCCACTGGCATTTTGGGGCACCTCCGGTGCTCCGTTCGCAAAATTGACGGTTCCTACTCCCCCTAACTCACCTCCTAAACCCCCCATCCTACTCCCGCCCCTGCACCCCCACCCCAACCAATGTGTGGCTATTATGCGTTGCATAATAGCCACACATTTTGTGGGGAGCTTACGGCGGGATTGGGGTGGGGGTGCAGGGGAGGGAGTAGGGTGGGGGTTTAGGAGGAGGGTTAGGGGGTAGGAACCGTCAATTTGGCGAACGAAGCACCGGAGGTGCTCCAAAAATGCAGTGGCACCGTACTCCAGTGTCACTAGAATCCCACCGTTATAAGATAGCAACTGTTCATATTACTCTCAAGCTAATGAAACACAAAGAGTCAATGCATCCGACTACGTTGGAGCTTGAATCAGCTTGATGAGTTTTCTCGTGTATCCTTAGGAGTGAATTTCATATCACTCAAGTCAAGGGAGAAATTCAAGAGTGAACTTCTTTATGATACAGAAGTGGTAGTATTATAATTAATTAAATCATACTCTCTACATCTTAAAATAAATTTACTTTTTTATCTTACAAATCTTAAGAAAAATATTAAAAAGTAGAGGTCGATTCTGTGTAGACACTGATCTCGATTAACACTTTGATGTCACTGTATTTTTAAGAACCCTTACGTTGTCTGATTCGTAAAATTGAAACACTTTGATGTCAGAGCACTGGAAATACTCTTGAAGCCCCGGGGCTTCAAAATTTCTCTTTCTGCCACATCAGCTTTAACTTACCTCACATATTCACTGGAAAAGGGTTTGGCCCGGGGCTTCAAACCTTCATTTTTTACATTTTTAAATATACATCTTCTAAAACTAAATTAATAAAATGCAATTAATTTATTATTTAATTATATTGAAACACGAATAATAAAAAAATACATTCATTAAATTTAAAGAAATTGAAACGACAATAATTTAAAATTTAAAAAATTACATTCATTAAACTAAGAACTCTTCCAGTGCTCTCACTGTATATATTTTTAAGAACTCTTCCACTCTGGTCCTACCAGAACCCACACTCTTCAATTTCATATCCCAAATTTAATGTTAAATTGATTTGATTTCAAAATCAAGTAAATTTGGGAACAACATTTGTGATTTACTTTAGCATAGATAAATTTTTAAAGACATGAATTAATTTAGAAAATGCTAATATTGAACTCTAATTTTTAAAGACAACAACATTAATATCAATATTATTATATGCATATATTTTTAAAATTTTAATATTTCAAAATTATGTTTCAAAAGAAGCTATTGATATTACGTTTATATTTTTAAAAACATATTTTTTCTGTATATCAAAGTCGAATTTTATAAGATTTACAAAAAAAATCAAATAGAAAGATTAAATTCGATGGAAGAGAATATTAGGCAGTACTCCCTCCGTCCGAATTATTCTTTCCATTTGACATTTTACAATCTCCAATGTTACAATTTGACCATTAATATCTATATTTATACATAGATATGATTTTATTAAAAAAAATCATATTACAAAATTACGTTTCATTAGGAATATATATTGATATTAAATTTATATCATAATATAATACATTTTTTTTTACAAATTGGAGTTGAAATTTATAGACTTTGACCAAGAAAAATCAAATGTGAAAATCATTTTGAGACGGAAGGTTAAAATTAATGTGAAGGGATAGATGGTAAAGTTGAGTTTAATCTTAACTAATGGGCAAATTGCCAAATTCTCGAATGGAATGGATAATTGGTATTAACAACTCCGTAATTCACGAAAATGAAAGAAAATAGAAACAACACATTGCCAATTTAATTGCCACCTTTTGAGGTTGGATTTATGTTGCAGAACTTTATTGAGTTCTATTTGACAACAAATGTTTAAGCCACAAATAATAATTACCAAAAAAATCACAAACTAAACTTACTAGATTTATTGCCTTATTTAAATATATTTCGGGATACCCTCGATTTTTTTAAGACCTTTCAAATCTCACATTATTTGAAATATACTACAAGATTTTTGTCAGATTATATATTCCGGGGTATATTTTCTCAATTTAGTCTTTAGAGTAAAAGTTTTTTTTACTTTGATAACTGAAGAATTTTAATCAAATTTAATAAAATAATAATTATGAATGTAAAATCTAATATTTTTCAAAATAGCAGAACTTTCAATCATAACGGTCAAATAGACAAAATATATTTTCAAACTATGTTACACAAATTTTAAGGACCTCCAGAGTATATTTTGGATAATGTAGGACTTGAGAGTACGTTCTTACTAGAAAATCAAAGTTACTCTAGAATATATTTAAGATAACGTATGTAGATCTGTAAATTATTATCAGAAAATCAAGAATACTTGAAAGTAATTTTTTGGGATAATAACAAACACTAAGTGAGAAGGGTATACTTACCTAGTGACTAGAGTGATGATAGGGAGGGGGTTAGGAATCCATGCTTTAAAAGGATTGCTAACACTAGATGAAAAAGGCATAATCATTAAGTTAGAACTTTTGATATATTATTCATTTAAGAGAAAAATACTTTTAGATAATTAAATGTTACAAAATATTTTATACATTAAAAATATATTTTAAATGATTTTAATTTTATTTACTAAATTTATATTATAAATAAATTATAAGCTTGTTTGCAATTATATATATATATATATATATATATATATATATATATATATATATATATATATATAGTGTAATATTTAAAGTATGTGTATCTAATTTAAGTATTGCTTTCTCGTTTAATCCTTACTTTCTTAGAGTAGAATAAGATGTAATTCTACACGAACATATAGGGCCTGTCTGAGAATAACGTTAGAGATTAACGTTAGCGTTTTAGATAAAATTTTAACGATACAGATTACTTTGAAAACTCTAACTCTAAACGGTGTCTGTGGATAGACTTTTCAAAATGTTAACGGTTATCTCTGACGTTATTTTCAAACAGGCCCATAGATAAATTATACTCCCTCCGTCCCCCATAGATCTTCCCAATAGCCCTTTTTCTTTGTCCACAATAGATCTTCTCATTTCATTTTTTAACAATTAAAATACCACAACTACCCCCACTTACTTTATTTATTACACCCCACCCACACCATTTAATACACTCCATTCATTTTTCATTAAGGGTATTATGGTAAACTTTTACCTTTTTTCAACTCTCCTTAAAAACCACCAAAAGTCAAAATGAGAATATCTTAGGGGGACGGAGGGAGTATTATATTAAAAATAATTTCAATCAAATATAATAAAATATAAATGAGACAAAAATAACCTAATGAAACAAATAAATTTCGAGAAGGTGCGAACTAATATCACTAGCTAGACATTTATTCATACTCTCTCTTTTTTTTTTGGTCTATAAAAACCCCTATTTTGTTTTACCTAACTCACTACTCAATTGGCTTCAACTCCTCCAAACCACACACACACATTTATCCCACACTTCCCACACATATAATCTCCATAACAACACCAAAAACATCACAATTAGTGCTCCTTAATCCTCTATTAGTCTCTCTTCAAAAACATTACATAGTGTTTGAGAATCAATAATCATACATTATTATTATTATTATAAAGGATTATGAACCACCATCTCATCCAATTTCAAAATGGTCATGATGATCACAACAATGTGGTGAAGATCAATCCTACCAACAAGGACGACTACAATAACGTGAATCCGGCGTTGAAGATAAACCGAAACTCCCATTCCATCAAGAAATCCCCGCCCTCGTCCCTGTCCTCCTCGCCGTCGCCGCCGCCGCCGCCATTGCCGTCGCCGTCCATCATGAGTGGCGTGGTCGTGGCGGCAACGCCGGTATCCGCCGTCAGGCCGCAGCAGCCACGCCACCCAGTGATCATCTACACTCATTCCCCCAAGGTGATCCACACCCACCCCAAAGATTTCAAGGCGCTCGTCCAAAAACTCACCGGCCTCGCCGCCGCCGAACGCCGCTCCTCCCGTCCCGTCCCGCCGCCGCCGCCTCAGCCGAAGCCCGAGCCGTTCGATCCCTACGCTCATTGTAACGGTGAGATCGTGGCGGCGGGGAGGGGCGCGGCGTCGATCAACGACGATTATGATGCAACGTCAGTGGTGACGGATGAGAGAGAAGGAAGCTCTAGTGTAGGTCATGTTTACGATCCACAAAATAATACGAGTAACAGTTTTGATAACAATATTAATATTAATAACAATAATGCTGAACATAATAATAATACTAATAATAATAATAATAATAATAATAGTGGGGATATTTTAAATGCAACATCTATGGATTACCTGTGCGCAGGTCCATCGACGTATGGTAAGTACGTGGATTCATTGGTGTTGATGAGAAACTCTATTTCTGCATCATCATCTTCATTGGAAAGCATGAAAGATGTTCCAGATTTTTGATTTTTTTTCCCGACTTTTATATATAGGGCTGAGAATTATTGGTTATTTTTTTTTTAATATATTGGAGATTTTTTTAATTTTCATTTAGGATTTTTTATTTTTAATGAGTTAAGATTTTTTGTTTTGTCAATAACCATTATAGGGAGTGATTGAGTTTAATTATTTAAATTTCTTGGTGATCAATTTGTAGCATGGGGAAATAATACTTTCTGTATTTTTCTTTTCTTTTATACGTTGAACTGAGATTACATGCGCACGTAGCACGAAGTATATATAATATGAAGTATAATGTAGTGTGTTTATACTTCATCGGTCTCCAAATCATGCAACTTGACATCTTGATTTTATGAAATTATAATAAAGTTGAATTGAAATTTAAAAACTACTCCGTGCTATTTGTGAATAGTCCACTAACTTGTTGGCTTTAATTATTGCCTTTATAAATCCTAAAGAGTTCAAAATTGTTGGCTCATGAAATATTTTATACTCCTTCAATACACTTTTTAAATTAATTAACAATGAAATTTGAAGTTATGATATACCCCGGAGTAATATCATAAAATTAACACAATAATTATGAGCAGTGTTTGGTTGATATAAATCTATATATCATTCATTTAGGCCTAACTTGGCAAAGAATTAATAATGTACAATTAATGGAAGAGTCAACTAAATGATAAATGTTATGTGAAGTTGCATGTGAATGAAATTTTTTTGCAATCTTACAAAATGTAAGAAGCTAATTTTAAATTTTCATGATTATTTGGATCTAATTAAATTTATTAATTAAGTGAGCTCTTTACTCTTTAGGTATGTATGACAGTCTCCATCAAATCATTCATATCTTCTCCTCTTGTACTTAATGAAGTACCAATCATCATTGCCAATATAAAACTTACACTTAAGAATGCATTTAATTATTTTTGTCCATATTTAATCCTCCACTTTTCTGTCTGTCCAAATAATTAGTTGTCCCCACTTTTTCATATTCAAGTCAACAAATTATCCAAAAAAACCCTCTAGATATAGCATTGTCAAAAATCAATGAATAACAAACTCATTCAAAAGACTTAATTATTTAATACTCTTTCACTCATTTCCTACAAGCTATATGGGCTATGGCTATGGCTATGGCTAAGGCTTCCTTCCTCCACCAGGACCCAAATGTTTGGAAGAAAAAAAAAAACTTCAAATTTACATTGGTTTATTAAAAAAAACTTATTACAAGTTACAGAAACCTAGCTTAATTAGTGTATGTCAAATTGCAGTATAAATATGATTTATATATATGAATATACTCATACAACAATAGCAGAGCCATCATCATCATTTATTATCTTCTCTTCTTGTCTTCTTTAGATGACCTCTGGAGGGTGACAGGGGCAGCTGGGATGCTAAACCACCATTCCCGCATCCGGCGAGTCCATCTTTCGGTGCTGGTTTTCCTGAGGGGAGAGTATCTGGTGAAGTATTCCAAGAAGAGCATCACTCCCATGTATCTGCATGGCACGAATGCCAGAACCGCCGCTGCCACCAGAACCCCACCTGCAAACTTCTCCGTTGCCTGACAAAACATGCAAAACTGTTAGTTGTTGCAGACACTCTCAAATGGATGTTGTCCCATGAAGAAGAAGAAGAAGAAGGAACAGGAAACCTGTGGGAATATGGAGAGCAATAGCGCGCGGAACTTGAGAAGAACAATGTTTCCATCTTGGATGAGTTCTTCAGCTTGGGAGATGGCGTTCTGAACGGCCAGAAGCTGTTCTACGGTGTTCATTTCTGGGGGAGCTGTCACTTTGAGCTCATCGGCTGCCCCCCTTCCTTGGCTGAAGTAGCGCGTGAGTAACATAAAGACCGCAAAGAATGCTAGCAGAGCAGCAGAGGCATATCCCAGCCATCCCCTGCCAGACGACTACTTAATTATTCCTTGCACGTTGTAATTAATATATAACTTGATAAAAGCTCAATTGGGGAAACAAGTTTCTTGTATAACCTTCAACAGTTTAAATTTTTTTTCTATTATGAAGCATAACGAGTCATGAAACTTCCTCAAATGCCAACCAGAACAGCAGAGTAAATGAAAAACATATATTATTTCATTATAGGTCTCAAGCTTGGGAAGGCCTCACCTGTTAATAATGTATGTGACAGCCAAGCAGAAAATCATGGACCTCAAAGGGTCTTCCCAGTGCGCTAGAGAAAGAAGCCAATTCCCAAGCTGAGTGACGGGTGAGAGCAATTCCTGCATGCATGCATGCATCAATGTCAGAGATCAAAAACGATAATAATATACGGAGTAAAATAACTTTACACAAAAAAAGGTTTGAAGGAAATTAAGAAATACTCCGGTAATATATATACATACATACATATACACACACACACACACACACACACATCACTTTCCTCCCCTTCCCCCCTAACTCCCCCAACCAAACACACTACACCACTTTCTTCTCCATTCATCCAAAGCCCTATATATAGCTTAACAAGGGATTAAGGATTAAAATAGAACCGTTTTCATTTGACAACAGATAGATTTATAGAGTATGATCATTTTCGGTGTTCCATGATGTGTTTTCCATGGTGCTCATGTTGATTTTACAATACCAATATTCTAGTGGGAGTATGGGGAATGACAGTGTTAGTGATAGATAATTTGTGGCATCATATAAGTGATACTAGTGAAAACAGAAATATACCTTCATAACAGCCAAGTTGGTGTCGATGCCATCAACTTTAACTCCATCAACAGTAGCTTGTGCAGACACTAACTTCTTGTGGTTTGCTCTAGACTCCTTAACCGCCCTCTCCAAAGGTGTGACCTCACCCACAGCAATCTCACCCACACTAATTCCCGTCTCATTAGAAGAAGCCGATCCAAACACAAACCCCAAGCTGGATGCCATTGTCAAAGCAGATATTGAATGCACCACTCTACTGGACTTGGGAGAGTTACTTCTCTCTAGTTCCTTAGCGATCGATCTATTGGCAAGTGTTTCAAGTATTAGGTCCCCACCAGGAAGCTGATCACACACATTGAACATCAAAAGATCTTCATAGCAAATGTGGTCTGTGGAAGTAGAGCTTATATCTTTTAGTGCTTGAACGCGAAGAATCCCAAAAATGGCTTTCAAAACTGCTTCCTCTCGCTCTACTCCAGTGATCTGGAACTTCATTATAAATCTATGAACGTATAGGATTTCACGGATTATGGCTAACCAGTAGTCTCGGCGTGTGTGTCCTTTAAGCTCTGGAAACTCCATTACAACAGGTTCTTGCCTGCAGTTAAGAATGGAACTTGAGACCTCGCAAACAAAGGCGGTTCAGCTAATTACTGATAAATGCCCATTCTTTTGATTTTATAACAAATCTATCCCATACTTGAATTTTTTTTCTTCAAGTGTACGCTAGATTTGCTAAAGCACTAAATGTTAGGACATTTTTCAGTAATTGATCCGTAGAGAACAATCACTACTATGGAACATCAAACTACACGAGACTCTAAAGAACATGAAATAAATAATCCATGCTACACAAATGATCGTGCCTTACAAGGAAGTAGATTTATAGAATACAGCTTTGTCAAAAAGCCTTGTTCCCCATGGTCCTGTTAGCTCAGGTTTAACAACCTGACTTAGATCTTGCGAGAGGTCATAAACTTTTGCCTTGTCATAAGACACTACACGAAGTGCCTCGAAATAGAGAGCATGGTCAGTCAGAGTTAATCTGCCTGCAAAAAAATAAAAGAATATACGCTCACAAAAGATGTTAATAATGGTATTGAGTATCCCACTCGCGTTGTTTACTGGGTTTCAGGTCTTAAATAAGGTAAGCTAGACCTGATTTAATGTATTACGTGTGTGATCATGTCAAACAAGTCGTTATCATAAAAAACAATATCAAATCCAAGAATGTACCAGGCCACGTGGAAATTCCCACATGTTCTAGAACAGGCTGAGTTGTTACAGTTCCATCCAGTTCCAGAATCTTCTCCCCTCTTCCAGAGCGTAGGGAAGAAAGGTGAGAGGACTCGGATTGGCTCTTCAACTTTTTAATTGCCCTGCAAACAAGTTCAAGAATTAAGCAAATGCATTCTTGTAATATTTACAAGTTGTTTAGTTTTCTGGTTTATGCTCTGTCTTAGGACACAAAAACCATATAGACGACCCTGCCTGGTAGAAGATGTAAGATGAAGTCAATCGATGCATAAAAAATCCACAGAATGAGACAGTGTACCTTTCCATGCCAGTGAGGTACTTGTCATAGACAGAAAAATGAAGTCTATGATCGGTTGACGAAGTAAGCACCGAAAAAATGTTATCACTAACAATCACATTGGCAATTATGGGAACAGCAGAAGCGATTCTTGAAAAAGCTTCAACACCAACAGTGGCATCCTCCGTCTGCCAAAAAAATAAAAAATAAAAATTTACCCAAATCCAGTATTCCAGTAATGGAACGATGATAAATTTTAAAAATATTTCCATTGAAATATTATTTGTGACACCGTCATAAAATTTGTTGTACAAAATTTATTGAGGGAAGGATTTCTTTTCCAATATGTAGATGAGGCTTAAATGTGTTTTTGACCTTGCAGAAACGACATTATTTTATTTAGGTCCTGAAAAATTATTTTTATTATTCCATCCCTGTAATTTACGTTGTTTTCCTTTTGGTCCCGCTCCAATAACCTTTTTTTAAAAAAACTAAGGTGACTCGCAAAACTGAAGTCCAGTCTCACGTATACATGATATAAAAGAATTTGCCTTGCATTCTTCAATGACTGAAAAACAAAATAATTCCATAACAACAACATATGAATATATGATTGACACATACACTTGAAGATGCTTGACTGACATCGGCAGTGGGAAACTCCCAAGCAACCATCATATCAAAGGTGAGGCACCGAAAACTTCGGTCACCTAGATACTCATTTACATTAACAGACAGTGCAAGAGCCTTGAAACAACAGTATTCCAAAAAGTTCCGTGCATAATGAGATGGATGCCTTAAAGAATCAGAAGCCTCTTTGTCAAAGTTTCCCCGAAGTTCACTCATGGAAATACCAAGGATCCTGTAGCATCAACATTTGTTATTATACTGTTATAGAGAGACTTTATCAAACCATTGATTAGAGAGACTTTATCCATAATTGGATGGAGCAATTATAGGCATAGTCACTTGCAAACAATGCAATTCAAACAGCTTAAGTGAACCACGAAAGGAGAACCGGAGAACCAGAAAACACTTTGAATTTCAAAAACCTAAGCTAGAGAGAAAAAATATGACCAATGGAAAGCTTACTTTGAGCATCTCCAGGTGACAACCTTAGCATAACGAGAGAGCTCTGGCAAGCAATCCATTCCACCTGCAGATGCCTGAGACTTCTCCATCTCCTCAAGATCTTTATCAAATGAACTCCTGGTTCTGTTCAACCACTTAAACGAACTCTCTTTAACCAGATCTTCCAGCATCGTCCTTGTCTTGTTTACGATAGCCATTCCAAAACTACTACCTTAACACCTTCAAAATTCACCAAAGTTACTCAATTTGCACCCACCCAAACATAGAAACTAAAACATATCAATAACTGCATCATAAAATTTTAAATCTCCATAAGAATATAAAATACATTAATATTCTTTATTAGTTTCCTACATTCGTTTGTTCCCATTCAAATACGGTATAAAGCTCTATTGCAGCACACACACTCACACACACACGACCTAAAACACCCATTTGCCCTCCGATTATAACACATCCAAGCTTAAAGCAATCAATACTCTTCAAAGGCCCAAATTTCAATCTTTTTTCAATAAACAAAGAATCATACTAAAATGCAGGACCAATCAAGCATTAAGTAAGAAATGCTCTTCAAAGGCCCAAAATTGAATCATTTTCAATAAAGTAAGAAAAATAATAGTGATATAAGGGATCATTCAATAATGTTCATCCAGAGCTCTTCAAATTCACATACACACACACACACAGAAACAAACTAAAACACCCAGTTGCCAGCCGATTATTATACACATTCAAGCATTAAGTAATTGATGCTCTTCAGAGGCGCAAATTTCAATCTTTTTTCAAGAAATAAAGAATCATACTGAAATGCAGGATCAATCAAGCATGAAGTAGGAAATGCTCTTCAAAGGCCCAAAATTGAATCTTTTTTTCAATAAAGAAAGGAAATCATAGTGATATAATGGATCATCCAAGCAATAAGTAATCAATGTTCATCCAGAGCTCCTCGAATTCACAAAAATAGTAAAATACCTTTCAAACCCGGAACTATTGCTCGATAGTTACCTAAAGAAGAACGGTGAGAAGGGTTTGGAACCAGTGTAGAGAGCAGATTCGGCTTTAGATTGAAGCAGGGACGGATTGGGTGAAGATGGAGAGCAAATGGAGGTGTTTAAATCCAGGAAGGCGAGAAGGACAAAGCCATGAGAGAAAGATGGGGCGTCTGTTTGGGTAATTACAGTATAATTTTAAGAAACTGGTTTATTATTGGATTGGATTGGATTGGAGTTGCATATATGTCTCGTCTGATTCCTTGCGGTGCTGTGTTGCAAACTCTCCATGGGGACACTTCGGGAACCGTACCGATCACCAGTTCTAGAAGTCTATTGGGAGTAAACCATAGAATTGGAATTGAAACCCATTAATGGGTGAATTCTATCTTGAACTATTTTGATGATTTTTGTTTATTTTTAATGACACATGCACATTATTTATTTGATTGGTGAGAAAAATGACGGAAAGAAAAAAAGAGAAAATAAAAATCTCGATACAATTTCTCATGTTTGGATAAATACGAAAAATTTATGTGGAATTCATCTCATGACTTTTCTCATCAACAAGAATGAGCAAAATTTTCTAATGCCAATCATTTCCTTTTCTTACTATTTTTTTATTATTTTCTATCAAACCAAACATTATTTTTTTCTCTTCATTCTCTTACATGCTGTTTGGTTGAGGAGAAATTGGGAGGAAAGAAAATGAATGGAGAGAAAACACAAATTTCAAGATATTTTATTTTGTTTGGTTAGAAGAGAATTGGTGGGGAGAAGAGAAAAAGGAGAGAAAAAGTAGCCTTAAAGTTTTCACTCCACATGAGAGGAGAAAATCGTAGGTTGGGAAGGAAAACAAGCAAAATTACTATTTTACCTTCTTTATTTATAGTTTTAATACTGTATTATAAAGTAAGGGTAAATGTGTCTTTTTGTTTTATCACATTTTCTTTTTCTTCTCATTTTCCTTTCACTTTCTACACATCCAAACAATAATTATTCTCTCTCCATTTTCTCTTCATTTTCTTTCTTCTCTATTTTCTTTCCATCCATTTTCTTTTCACTCATTTTCTCTTTTTATCCAAACAATGACTTAGTTCTCACCATTTTCTTTCCTCTCATTTTCTTTCATATTGCTTTAGTTCCTCTCATTTTCTCTCATCATCCAAACAAACCAATAAAGAGTTAACTTGAACTTGGTCAAACATCTTCATGAATCTTGGGAACTGAATTCTCTATCACTCAAGCTCAGGGAAAAATTCTTCATGTCGCGTTTTGATTTATAGAGTTTTTTATGTATTTTTGTAAGTAGATATAGCGTTTAGAGCCTCATTTTTTATTTATTGTCTTTGTACTGATGTGGTTTAGTATAGATTGTTTTGCATACATACCTCTCTCCTTCCTTTGTAGACTCAGATCCAAAAATATTCTCTAACAAATATTATCTTTCTGTTATTTTCGTCTTCCTCTCTATCGATTGAGCTCATCATTTCTTCATCTTCTTTGTTGAGTTCTTTGAATTCTTGATCAGATTGAGCTTAATGAACAATTTTTAAACGATGTAATTTGTTCGGAATAATTTTAATTTCTATACCAATCCAACTAAAATATGAAATTGAAACCCAAATAGAAATTCCCAAGGAGATTGATAAATTAATTTGGTCCAATCACCAAACAACTTTGGCCATTAACCATTCCAATGTGTTGCACACTTGTGGAATTCTCTACATAGAAATAAAGAATGATGGAGTACCTCATGACTATACTCTCTCAACACCTGGGCTACATAAAGTCGCCGCGTGGCCCTTTCAAAATGCCATAGCCCACAAGCCCATACCTTCTCCCTCTCATCATCTCTCTTTTTTTCTTTTTTCTTTTGGAAAACCTACCATCATCTATTTAAAAGAAAAAAATTAAATAAAATACACCACATATAAAATATTTTATACTCCCTTCATCCATAAATGAAAGACATGTTGCGCGTTAAGATGTTTGACTGAAGTTATTTTCAAATCATTTTATATGAAAAAATGGTATGAAATTTAAAAATAAAAATTACATATTTAAAAACTGCATGAAAAGATATACAAAACTAGAAGTGATATGAATATATTATTTTATCAAATAGGACACGAAAATAGGTCAACAAAATGAATAAAATTTTATCACGTGAATAGTGAGCGAAAACTTTATTATTGAACGGATGGAGTCCTCCGTCCCTAATTTATCATCTTCTTCATAATTTGATACATCTTATAATTTTTGTTTACATATATATTTTTATAAGAGGCATATCACCACATGTTTTGAAAAGATTTTGATGTAATTTTTTGTTACGTAATTGAATTTTTTAATTTTTTTAACGAATTTGTAAATAGAATCAATTTAAAAGAGATAAACCTTTGCATATTCTTCCAAAGTTGATGATAATGTAGAGACCAAAGGAAACATAAAAATGCCATTTAAATGTACGAATACTTTTTAGATAGGCCTACATTTTAAAATTGTGAAATTATTTATGGGCACAAAAGATATTTAACGATAACATTGTCCATATCGATCTCGGTGGAGAATCCTTTCTTTAACGATTTGGGCCCAGAGTTCATAATTGTTATCATTTTGAAGAACATCTTAAAAGTTTCTATACAATAAGAAGGATTTTGTCTTGGTGTCCGTCGTCTTAATAGCTAGCAGTCATTTGCCATAAAATGTCTGTATTGTTTGTCCTACATTTCTTGCACCTGGCACACTCCTCGTTCAAGCCGATAAATTTTTAGACTTTTTTGTTTACGTGACTCCATTTAGAAGTGAGTTGATTTCTTCTTCGGTAAGACGGGTCTTTGTTCATTGTAGTAAGAACTTCTTCTCAATACGATCACGCATAACATCCTTTATTTGCTTGGTACCTTTAAAAAACAAAATACTACCTCCGGCCCAGAATATTTGTCCACTTTCATTTTTACATATCATCCAATCTACTTCTTTAATCCATTTTATCTTATAATTTGTAAATTAAAAAAATTATAGAAATTATATATTAATAATCTATATGTTAAGACAAATCAAACAAGATCACACATGACTATATTTAGGCTTACACATTGAGAGAATTTGATGAGTCAAAGTGCTTAAATGAACAGTTCCAAAAGTCAAAACTGGACAAATACTCCGGGACGGAGGGAGTATATCCCTTCCGTCCCTGAAAAGTTTTCTCTTTTCTTTTTCACCCGCCCCAAAAGACTTTCTCATTTTTGTAAAAAAGTCACTTTAATCCCACTAATTCTTAACGAACCTATCACATTTATTAACTATTAATCTACCAATCAAATTCAACTTTTACCCATCACATCTAAGGACATTTTTGAAAACTCAACACCAAAATACATATCTCTTAAATTTCTTAGAAAACAAAACCTCGCATGTTTTAGGGACGTAAGAAGTATAATTTAACACAATTATATAAATAAAAAATATATAATTTACCAGAAATATATTAAAATTCATCAATGATAGGTGACTTGTATTAAGCTATTTGTACCTTAAAATTTGTACCCCAATTTGTACATCGCGGGTGTACACTTTCATTTTGTATCTGTATAGTGCTAGGATGATGAATCACACAGACACAAAATGTTAATGTAAATTTTTATTGACTCACAGACATTTTGTGTCACTATATACTATCAAAATGTTAGTGTATAATTTTGGTATAATTTAGAGTATTTTTTGATCTAAGTGGTGTAGCATGGTTGTAGGTGTGGGGTGCAAGCTGAAGTATAAAATGATGTATCCAAACATTTTTGTATATATATATAGGGAGTGTATATATATACACACACACAATAGACTCTCTGTCAAGCCCCATATCCAGAAAGAACACATCTTGCTCCAGAAAGATTTGGGGAATATTAATATTATTAAACTATAAACATAAATCAATAATGTCCAACCATTTTTCCTCTGCAGACATGCAAAACCTGAAGCACCCATTCCCCATACTCCACCACCACCACCACCACACAGATCCCACCGCCATGGAGATCATGAACCACTTTCACGACTACTTATTCGCCCCAAATTACCCCTCTGAAATTCCTCCCCACTTCAACTTCCACAACACATCCTCTTCTTCTCCTTCAATGGGATTGTTGCTTTGCCCTGAAAGTTTTCTCCCCCCGGAAGTGCCCCCCAATAATCTGTGTCCGGATTTCCCGGCGAATCTCTCCCGCACCGCCCCCGGAGCGAACGGGAATGCGATCGGAACAGCCGTGAACTTGAAGATCGCCGATGGAACTCCGGAGAGCTGCCTCACTAACTCCTCCCCTGTTTCAGCTAAAAGGACCAATGTATGTTTACATTCATACTTCCTCTCTTAAAAAAAAACTTTTTTCAGCTTTTAGGGTCTGTTTGGTACACGGAATTGAAATTGAATTGCAAGTTAAAATTCTATCGAATTGATTTGAATGGAATTGAATTCTCCAATTTCAATTCAGTTTTGGCATTACCAATTCCAAATCCACATATTTTTCTGCTACCAAACAGCAAAATTGAAATTGTTGTTCCCAATTTCAATTTCATAGTTTAAATTCTGTGTACCAAACGGAGCCTGAATATTTTTGTTTTTTGATGTTTCAATACACACTTTTCATGTACTTAAATTCCATGAAAATCAAATTGGGTAAAAAAATAATCGAACAAAGAATATCGTTTATTTGAAGCTTTTAGCGCTAACGTTCTCGAGCTTTAATCTGTACCATCAAAACGTTATCTGAAATAGTAACATTAATCATGCACAAACTATGTTCTCAATCAAAGTCATATATATATATATATATATATATATATATATATATATATATATATATATATTCGTCTCAAAATAAATTTTTCATTTTCCTGTGTGTAGTCAATAATGTTTCACATTATTTCTATCTCTTCTGCATAAATCTATCTCAATGATATGAAAGGGATATGTTTATAAGGAGTTATGAATGACATTAACAGAGTGGGGGAAGGAGGAAAAGAAAGAAGAATGGGGAAGAAGATGAAGATGAAGATGAAGAAGAAGGCAGAGTAGAAGAAGAGGAGGAGAAGAAGAAGCCAATTAGGGAAGTGGTGCATGTAAGAGCCAAAAGGGGACAAGCTACTGACAGTCACAGTTTAGCAGAAAGGGTAAAAAAAGTTTAATATTTTTATTTTAATAAAATTATCACTCTATATTTCTATCAAAGAATGTCTCATTTTCTTTATTTGGACATTCTACAAAAAAGAAAGAATATGTGGCTTACAAAAATGTTCTCTTTTAAACAAATTCAGGCCACATTTTAATATTTTTCTTGAATTTCATAAAGTCAAAATTTTTCTTTTTGGGGTAAATATCAGCCTAATTTTTCAGATGAATTTGTGCTTAGCTTGTAAGTGTGTGTGGTTCAGATTAGAAGAGAGAAAATCAATGAGAGACTTAGGTGCTTGCAAGAAATTGTTCCAGGATGCTACAAGGTAAAAATTAATTTTAACATTTTTCAAATTTTTTGGAGTTAATCTTTTCATGATTATCCTGATTTATTTATTTATTTATATAAATCCCTAATCAAATTTCAGACAATGGGCATGGCTGTCATGTTGGATGAGATAATTAATTATGTGCAGTCCTTGCAAAACCAGGTTGAGGTAATTAAGCTCAATACTCTCAGTTTAACCAAAAAAGTCAAACTGGAGGAATATTTTTAAGATTGGGACGACAATATTTACTTAATTAATTCAGATGCACATTTACTTAGTCTTTTTTTACTATGGTTTCAGTTTCTCTCTTTGAAGCTGGCTGCAGCAAGTTCATATTATGACTTCAATTCAGATAGGGACATTATTGGAACAATGCAGGTACTCTTTTGATAATCAAATATGGTTTTTTTTTTGACTGATTGGACCAAATAATTAAAATAAAATTTAAATACAATGGGTTATTATTTTTTTAAACATGAATACGGAGTACAATTTATGATTATCTAGTTTAATTATAAGTCTTATATATATATATATATATATATATATATATATATATATATATATATATATATATATTAACTATTATTTTTGGGAATTGCAGAGAGCAAAAACAGCATATGAGGGATTGAAAATGGAGAAGCAAATGAAGGAAGGGTGTGAAGGAGGCCTATCCAGTTCCAACCAATCTTTCCTTCTTGACCACAACTTTCCCACCCCCTATCCTTCTATGCCCCACAATACTTAATAACATCTACAATAATAATAATAATAATAATAATAATAATAATAATAATATTTATAATAATAGTTATTATTATTATTATTAATGATATGATGGTGGCATATTATTATATTTTTCATAATTCTTCTTATGCCCCTTGTAATTTTGAGTACATCAAATTTGTATAAATTCAAAAAGTCAATATACCAAGTGAGGATTTATTGACCAATTTCTCCCATCCCTAATTTAGCTATACCAGTATGGAGTCAGTTATGTTCCTACTCACCTGACTATGTATTTGTTTTTTATGTGTTAATAAAATTCTTATATTTTTTTTTTTGGTAAAAAATGGAGTATAGGGCAAATTTTTGGAATACCCTAAGATTGATCTTAATTTTAACACCAATTTTTTGCTGACATCACATACACGAAATAGTATTCCATGTCTGTAATACATCTGGAAAGGCATTGATGTCAAAAGTGAGATCAAATTTGGAGTATCCAAAGTTTATTTGTAAACAAAATAGGATTAAATACGTTTTGAATCCTTGTAAAACAAACGTCTTTTGTATGTTTTTGTAATTTTTTTGTTTAAGTCATTCGAACAAATTGTTTTATTTTGAAAATAGATCTTAAAGGTAATATAAAATTTTAATTAATTGAGATAATACATTCATTTCGTAATCAACATATTAGTCTTACATTTTTAATTAAGTGACAATAATCCTCGTGCCTTAGAGCCCAATTCATGCAAGTCTCATTTCAGCTTCCCTCTTTTAGTTGGCATGTAAGTGGGACTTTTGTATAATTTTGTACGATTGGATGAAAATAATAAAATGGGACTAGCCCCTCCAAGTTGGGACAGTCCCAACTCAAATTCTTCTCCTCTTTTTATTTTATTTATTCACATGATGAGATTCTAAGGTGAGATCTTCCATTGGAGAAGAGAGTCCAAATTTTTTTATAATCTTGCATGTAATATTAAATTCATAAACGAGACTCTTAATTACTTGGGGCTTACCATTGTGCATGCTCTTATATTGTGTTCTTCAACTTACATCCTCAAATTCCTAATATTATTATATTATATTCACAAGAAATACGAGAATATGAGATGTAATATAAACAAGGACATAATTTAAGGCTTGGGAATTGAGTCGAGGTAATTAGATTAAAATACTAGGATGTTGAGTATGAAATAAATATGTTATATGAACTATTTAGAAGTGCTAATGATGTTTAAGACTATTTTTCAGAATAAATTTTGTTGTAAGGATGACCTAAATAAAATAATTTATAAGGATGAAATACGAAACATATATATTTTACAAAGGTAAAAAACACAGTTTGACAGAATTTAAGATGGGGTAAGGATAACTGGGTTGAGTAATAAGACACTTGGATTGAACCACCTCAAAAGATTGAATCCAATCAATTACTTATAATTAGTTCAACTGAAAAGCTTATATACCGATTATTTTTCTATTTAATAACTTTCGATGTGGGGTAGACTCTAACACTCCCCTCAAGTGGACAACAAGTCCATTTTTAGTCTAACCGGTTGACCATTTGCAAATGGATTCTCATCTTCTTGATTTTTTTGAGCGCCAACATGTAAAGGACCACGAGCCGGTGGTATAGAATTCTAGACTAGCAATCGGGTTAAACGAGACACAGACCGTTGGGTACATACTCCATACAGACAACTGGTTAAAGACAAATGGGCCGTTAGAAATGAATGTCTAAACGGACATCTTGACAAACGAGATGGGCCAAAACTTGCTCCATTACCATGACAGAATTTAAGATGAGGTAAGGATAACTGAATTGAGTAATAAGACATTTGGGTTTAACAATATTAAAAGATTGAATCCAATCGATTACTTACTTCAACTCAGAATTTTATATACCAATTACTCCATATTTTTTGTTCAAGTTCTGATGTGAAATAGACTCTAACACATTTAACTCAAAAAATACAAGGTACACCACATTAAAAATGAAAAAAAAAGAAATGTTTTTTTTCTAAAGGAAGAAAGTTTTCTTTTTTCGTACTCGATTGGAAATGACATTTTTGGGGGAGTGGAAATGAGTAATTTATGATTAATGGGACATGATTAATTGCATTTGGTGCATCACCCATCACAATCGACAAATCACAATCAATCAACAATGGGATGAGTGATTTGATTTTGGATGTTTTTCTTTCAGTTCATCCGCCAAGCGCCTAAATGCCAATTAACTAATAATGACCAAACTAATTAATTACCTTCCATTCGTACATCCATTCCCACTCTGAACGGAGTGTATATTAGCATCCGTTCACCAATATTTGTGACAGGTCGAGCTTAATTATCTAGACATTTAACAAGTTAAAAATATAGAAGATAATATTTATGAAGGACATATTACAGATTCACGTGTAATATATGATTTAGATTAATCTATACTTGTACTGGATGAACACATGATTAATGCACTCCCAAATCGGGTGTATAGGAAGTATTAATGCAATATTTTTAAAAATTCAGAAGGCATTGATCTAGTTTTAAAATTCAGAGGAAATCTGTGCAAGTTTTGAAAAGTTTAGGGGTAAATAGCGTAAAAAAACTCTAATTGAATTCTAGTTCAATCTTAAACTCTTATTTGCTATAATTAAAAAATTGATATATAATTGCATTACAATTTCAAATTGTTTGTTTGATAACACAAAAGTATAAATAAAGTTTGATATGGAATCATATTTTTACAATTTCTCACAGTAGAGTAATTCAGAACCTGTTCGAAAACCCAAAAAAATACATATATACATAATTTTTTTTATTTTAAATATTTTAATTTAAAGTTTTAGTTTTAAATTTTAATTCAAATTTTTTACTTTTTAAATCTTCTCATAATAATAACAATAACAGTAACAGTAACGATAATCATAATTATAATCATAATCACAATCATAATCATAATACTCCACATTAATTATGAAGTACTTATCAAAAAAACATGACCCCTTGATGAGATGTTGATAATGTTAAGTGCAAATATGGGAACAAGAAAATGTATCTTAACAGTTGAAAAATCTGCTTACCCCTCAGGTGGAACCCAATTTTTTTTCTTGATCAGGTGGAACCCAATACTCTACGGAATATATATTGTGGACTCCCTTTTATTTTAGTTCCCAATACTAATAATTCTATTAGAATATAATATTTGTTCTTTTTTTTAACCTATTGTAACTCAAAGAGTTAATATAATAATGCTGCTAGATTACATTACAAGGTTTTTAATAATTAAATTTTTACTAAACATATGTTTATGAAATTATAAATTCTTATATGAACCTCATGTTCACATAATAATAAATAATTAAATATGAACTCTCTCATATCAACGATAAATTATTTCAGAGTGTTGTTTTTAAATTTTGTACACTATGTTTGGATCAAAGAATTCGAAAGAGAAAAAAAAGAAAAATGTGAGGAAAACATTTTTTTTTCATGTTTGGTTAGAGAGGAAAAAGAAAAGAAAGGTGGAATGAGAAAAAAATAACAAGACAAAATATACAAAGATAAAAAAATCTCAAATTACTCTCATTTTAGTGTAGAAAATGAGTAGAAAGTAATTTCATTTTATTTTTCTTCCAGCTAAACCAAACATAGTATTAATATTTTCTGTAATTTTTGAATAATGAAGAGTGTAAATCAGTGTGAGAGTATGAAAATAGGATCACATTCTTCATTGAAAACATTTTTTTAATCTAAGCATATAACTTTTATTTTTACTTATATATAATATATATCCCTTTTTGGGAAAGGGATGGGGTTCTTTTTTAATCCAAAAGAGATGAAGTATAAAATTAATTATTATTTTTCATAATTATTAAAAAATGGGCCGGGCCATGAAACACCTCACAAGTGGCATATTGGATTTGATTAGAGACACGATCTTCTTGCATTTTCTTTATATTTTTTTAAGGTCACCTCAAGGCTTTTAATTTCTCGGCTCTTTATGGAGTCGGCAAACAACCTTTTATTAAATTTTGCATTATGAAATCTTTCTCTAACATTAAAACATACGGAGTATATAAAGAGTTATATATATATATATATATATATATATATATATAGATTTTGGTTCTGGTGAGAATGCAATCTTAGGAGAGAAATGAGAATGAATCTGGTGCTTTAGATTGTGAGATCTAAGGGTCAAGATTTCATCAAAATTAGATGCACCAAAATGGTGCGAAAATGCATCACGTCGAAATGCACCATAAACTTTCGAAAATGCACTATCTCAAAATCTGAGCGCAGGATGCAATCTGAGCCGCACGATGCATCAGATCCGACGGCTAGATTTTATTCTCATTTCTCTCCACAAGGTGCATTCTCACGAGAACCAGCCCCTATATATATATATATATATATATATATATATATATATATATATATATGTATGTATATATATGTGTGTGTGTGTATAATGAGAAAATTAAGACTTTCTTTTTTTAGTTTTTCATTTACATCTTCTGCCCCCTAAAACATTTCTTGTTCTGACTTTTGAGAGTAGAAATTATAAAAGTTTGATCAAGATAAAACCGTAAAACGACTACAAATTGAAACAAGCAGGGCATATAGAAGTAGTTCGGTAGATTTAAGAAAATTAAGAATAATTAGTCTATTTAGACTAAATTAAAATATTTTATAAGTGTGATGCTATTTGAGAAAAGTCATTATATTTTAGTACTATTTACTAAGTTCACCCAACCAAAAGGAGTTGGTGAATAGTATAACTGAAATGTCTTTGGAAGGGAGGAAGAAGATGGTATAGCTAACTAGTTTTTTTCCCCATTTAAAATACGGAGTAGAAGCTAGCAAAAGTGGGACGACATAAATACGGAGTATAATATACTCCCTCCGTCCCAGAGTATTTGTCCACTTTCATTTTTACACACCATTTAATGTACTTCTTTAATCCATTTTATCTTGTAATTTGTAGATTAAAAAATTATAGAAATTATATATTAATAATCTATATGTTAAGACAAATCAAACAAGATC